ACGTAACATGTCCTTTTGACTGTGTTGGTCGCGTGAAGACGAAACAACCCGATGTGCGCGAAAAGGCGCGACACATGAGACAGCATTGAAGAATTGATAATTCACAGCTGCAAACTTGCTCTGCAGGAATTTCTGTAGTTGAATCTGCAGCATCACCACAGCAATAGAATGCACGCAGTGTGGGGAGGGCATTGCGGACATGCCAGGTCTGAAGCGGCCGGCATTGGGCTTGCATGCTGCATGCTGACGAAACATCCACGAAGAGCAGCAACGATCCACTCAAATTAACGCTTCAACCCATACTAATGCAAGCCAAGCACAAACAATGAAGCGGGCTTGTCCACGAACGGCACAGGCTGCTTGAGGGCTTGTGCCGTTCGTGGTAGATCCAAAAGGGCCACAGCCAGATCGTCCTTACGACCTCCCTCCTCAGTAAGAAATACGCATGCCGATCAAGAAACTCTGGCTTGCTTTCACACGACAGTGGACACGCGCAGTGTTTTAGCATCAGGGTCTGTCTACAACACCCGAAGCGAACTTTGCAGACAACCTCTGCCAAGCCGCAGCCGGTTGGCATAGCACGCTGGTCAGCATCGTGATCGGCTCGGACAGTGGATTATGCGGAGTACCAGCTTGAACCCACGATCCTCATGTCACGAAACTGAAACGATGCCGGTGTGGTGTTGAACCCCACGAGTGGGCCATGGCTGCTTGCCAACCACAACACAATGAAAAAAAACACACGCGATCCTGGTGCGCCATGCACTCTGCGGTAGTACTTCCCTGAGGAGGCGTTGAAAAACAACCAGGGAAGTGGTCGACCTCCTTCCTGTTGTCTTTCATGCACATACCACACTCCTGCGTGGGCAGCCCGTGCGTGTTCGGAGTATCTGGGCATTTCTCTGGACTATGCTCTCTGCTGGGTTCTCGTAATCATAAATCCCGCACTTTACGGGCAAAAACTAGGGCAAACGATGAGCTGACCGATGTCTCGTCCCAGCCTGGAAGTCTTGGAACTGCCATGGCCTGTCCAGCTAGCGACCAGCTCGGTCCGGAGGGCTGAAAATTTTCCAGCTGCTCCTCCTTTACAAGATTGCAAAAAGCATGCAACATGCAAAAAATCCGAGAGAGTCGAAGTCGAGACCTTCACTTGAATGACAGCAGCTGTACCTTCTTCGCGTAGATCCACTCTCGGAGAGATGATACCTAGGACGATCCAAATACCATGAGACTCAGCCGCCAAGATCAGCAGAAGCACATTTTTTGAACCCACGCTTAGCAACTGCCTGAGACGGGAATGCGACTGCACCATCGCTCCACGACAGAACCCGTGCACATGAACGAGACTAAGCAGACAAAGACCTACTAGCGACAGCTCTCAACCACTCGTCAGGAGCAGCCGTAAACGACACCAAGACCCCAGCAGAAGCACATAGAGGGCACAACATTGTCCCGCAATATAGCAATGAAAAGCTCTAGCCCCATACACATCCCCTCAAGTACGTGAACTCCGGCTCCAGGCGGCTTCATGTTGCCACAAAAGACACAGACTGCAAGTGTAGCTTCAGCTTTTGTCACTTCATGCCAGGCACTAAAGATGTATAAGATTCTATGAACCCGGGGTACGCGCAATGCATTGCTGTGATCTTCAGGACACCGAACACTGGGGCAAGGTACACTCTTCTCCTGCTCTTTGAACTTCTCCGCCTGCGTGGCAGTCGTAAACTCTGGAAGGCGTCGCTCAGCTGCTTCATCGACATCCTGGACTCCAGGTGCACACGCAAAGCGCACCCACACAGCACGGTGCTGAAACCCAGACTTTGCAAGCACCAGTCCTCCCCAACAAGGTCAGTTGCTAACCACTGGATGACCGCCAGCTCGGCGATCTTTCCCTTGAGGGCCTCGGAGCCAAAACAAGCATTCGTTGCGCCGTCAAGGAAGGAAACCCTCGAAATGGCTCGGACTGCAAGCCCGGGCATGCCAGCATGCCAGCAGATGACAAATAGGTTTCATGCCCCAGGCGCATTGTAACTGCCGCCGCTGAAAAAGGCGACGCGTAGGAGTTCGCAGCCATCTTTTCGAGCCTCGGGCACCTGGAACTCAGGTTCGGACACGGACTCTAAAACGGTCGCTCCTACTGGTGGCAGCTCGTTTGGTTGCAACCCCGCCCTCCAACGAAAAAAAGAACCTCCCTGGCATATAGTGCGATGCCCAGGCGCACGGTTGTGGTTAAAGGTTTGGGCGTCAAAGCATATTGGGGATGAGGGATGCAGACAGACTGGGCGCCTGAAGGCGGGGGTTGGGGCCTTAGGAGCCAGGAAGACGCTGCTTTCATGGCATCTTTATTGAAAGCGGTTGCGACTTTGCGCTTCCAGGGTTTTTACTTCCAGGAATTCAAGTGTTTTGAACGAGCCGTCACTTGCCGGAGCACGGCTTGGGACTTGGTGGCTTCAGGATCTAGCAGCAGACATGTCCTTTCATGCTGCAAGGCCAAAGTCACCACAAAGGGCCTCAAGCTTCCCGGTTCGTCTGCGGATCGTCTGTTTTGAACTTGTTAACGATAGCAAGCAAACACGCCACTGGGGCATCGAGCAGGCATGCATTGCCGACAGGCAGAGCCCCGAGCCCATAATCCCTGACCTGCGAGGAATTTAACCAAATCCTGATCTGATTATGCCTGTGTACGAAGATTTGCTTTATCAAGACTGCTCCCACTAGGTTCTTGTGATCGTGGCATTGACAACCGGAGTAAGTTGAACATGTGTTGAAGTACTCATATGATCCGAGCTGCAGTTCTCCGCCTTGGGCCGCGCATACGTGCTTCATGCACACCTTCCGGCCCTTGCCTGAACCGACAGAACCAAGACCGTCACACCAACACAGACAAGTGCACACGAGTTATCTAGAAGCCTGAAGACCGACAACTCTGCCCTGACAGACGGTCCAGCATCATCGGGGATTACCTGAGCAAGAGCCGAGCACAAAGCCACGATTAGACACGGTCGAAGGTTTTTGTGGGGACGTGCAGCAGGTCCAACGTAGGTCCAACTGAGCCCAGATGCTGAGAAATCAGGAGGTGGCACGCCCGGCTGATGCCAGGTCAGATCGCCGATGCGGCAAGCCATGGCCTCGACCTCCAAAGCACTGCAAAGCACTGCAAAGCACTGCAAGGCACCGGTACACTCTTCAGAGGCTATGCTTTGCTCGTGCTGGGCAGGGGTGTCACAGTGCAAGACGGGGCGCAGGACAATGGCGAGGATCAACGCAGAAAGAGCGTGAAGGCAAGCCAAGAAAGAAGGAGGAAGACAGACTCACGGAGACGTGAACAGAGAGAGTAACAATTTTCGGGTTCGCCGTTTCTTCCAGCACGTTTTACTCCTTCCCTTTCGCACACCTCGCGAGACCCAACTTTCTTTAGTTGAGCCTTCCGCAGCCAAGATTCTCATGTTAGCGGGCAGAAGTTGCACGTTTTCCTTTCTACATCTACCTTGTCGGTCAACAGGATAACATAGTAGCGATGTTTCCTTAGGGCGAAGGCGTGGCATGCTGCATGCACAGATTCTCACGGCACCTCTTCAGCTTCGCGTTCCTGGTTTGAGTTGTCCTTCTGAACCTCGGCCAGCGCTTAGCCGTCGAGAAGCCCTCTCCAATTAATCGCTGCTGCCGCCTGCCCCATTTGGACAGAGCGGCATACTCAGGTGGAGTTGAGGAGAAAATGCCAGCTGCACTGCCTCCCAGCACCTGTTCCAGAGTTGAACAACCACAAAAACTCCGAAACATGACCGGACACAGGATGCAACTAGATGCAACTACTCTGTCGGGTGAAGCTCCACCCTGCCTGAGTGGCTCGGAACTTCACCTAGAACCGAAGATCTTGCAAAGTGACTGGGTGGTGAAGCCGCATGGGAATGGAGCAAAGAAGCGGTGTATGGCATGCGATGCATGCGATGCATGCGACCACGGAACCCAGGCGGAGCCAGGTGCAGGACCACGACCGCCTTGCCTGTGAGCGCATCAAGGCGAAAGAATTACACATTCAACAAAAAGCCGACGGACGGGGACGGCAGCGGCTTAGACAATGGCTTAGACAAAGGCTTAAAGCTGCTTGAAGACGAAGCTCGACACCACCCTCGTCTCTGTTTGCATGTCAAATCAGGCAAGCCACCGGCCACCCTCACGACCTTCGACCTGCGATGACGGGTTCGAGGGTCTTCGACAAGTGTGGCAGTCGAGTCACTCAGGAAGGACGACCGTGTTCTCTTACGCTGTACCTCCGTTTCCCCCTGCAAGTTGTTAAGGGGCTCACGCGAGGGGGCACCTGCGTGCCTCATCATCTACTTCACATCGAGGTCCACTACTGACACTAGTGCCTACAGAACTATACGGCAAAGCACCCCATGCTCTGACTACGAGCCCCTTGCCATGCCTCAGGCGGCATACCATAGGCAGCGCGATTTCTTTCGCTTTCCTCAGAGATCTCACCGACAAGGCCTCTTGCTGCCAACAAGCCGATTCTCCCTTGAATGAGACCGTTTGTCATGCCAAATATGCCAACTGAGGTCAGCTCTGCCATCGTGCAGCTCACACTGCCGCAGAATCCGCCGCCGGCTGCATTTTCGTCGACATGTCCATTCGCACACAGCTTGTTCGGGCCGGAGTGCACTACCCACAGCTCCCTCTCCACGACTTTGTACTTACTGCTAGGAAATATTTCCAATCACCGGTTGCCTGAAAGTGTGTTTTTTATCAATCTGGCATCGGCCCTAGTCCATACGAGTCTGAAAGGTGGACGTGTGCTCCAGCTGGGGTTAGTAAGCAAGCTCGGTCATCTCCTGAGCCAACGTTTAGAGAGAACGTGCCGATCAAAACGAGCAAGCTTTTTAGTGCAGTCTGTGGACTGCTCATGGCTACCCCTGCTTCTGGTGCATCTACGAATCGACGGCATCCACCGCAAAGTGAAGGCTGAACACTGAACACGCCGCGAACATGTGAACGAACTCCTCCTTGGCATCTGAGGTAAGCTTTGGCAGTTCTGGAAGCGCTGTCCCATACCTGGGCAACATGCAGAGATGCCACGATTTCATGGTGGTCACTTTCAAGCTCTTGCACGCAAAGCTGCTTCATTTGGGTAGGCAGAAGGGAGCTTATCGCGCAAAGCGATCTTCTCACAAGCAAAGTGCTACTGGCAGAGGGTTACACGATGCTTTTGCAGCAACCTCTACAACAAGGCGCATCTCCCAACTGCTCACCACGACGATCCGACCGCTGCTCTGCTGCAGCAACGGCAATGCCAGAATACCTGAGAGGAACCACGGCTGCGGCAAATGTTCATCTCCCCTCCCTGTGTAAGTCTAAACCACAGAGAACATGTCTTCGTGACACCGAGGCACCAAGAAAGTAGGTGCCCCACAGCCTGTGAGGAAAGACAGCAGAACCGATGAAGTGCTATGCGTGTGCTGCCCAACTGACCGGGTTCTGAGGTAGAAGGGTCTAAGGGATCCGCCGAGGCCTCGGGCCGTAGGTGTATGGGGAGCACAAAGCAGGCTAACAGCTCCGTCTGCGCGCACCTCGTTGGCCACTCGGTACCCTCCCCAGCCAACACGTGTGCGGAAGGTGACCATGCAGCAGGACCAGGGGGAGGCGCCCCCCCACCCCCCCACCACTGTTTCATCCCCCCCCGGAAATGCAGCTGCAGAGCTTCAGACTCAGGGTGCCGTGGTTGCGAACTCCACATGCTCAAGGGGCTGGGGCCAGGCCGAGGCGGGTCGTGTAGCGATAACATAAAATCAAGGAAATTGGGGGTAAGGCTCTAAGGGTGTCAGCTAGCATGACACGACCCCAAGCCCAGGGTTGGTCCCTTGCGGCCAGCGCCATTCACATAGGACTAGTTAATTATTCGGGAGGCTACTTAGCGGCTACTTGGTATCCTTACATGCCACCTCGAAGATATCAAGGCTTCAGCCACGGAACAGGTTTGCCGCAAAGGTCTCTTCCACGTCTTGAGTGATGGTGCGTTGGTGGCGGAAGCGCTGCTCACCACATACCAAGCAATCAAGACCTGATGATTCTGGCACGGCTCCTGAGGCTAATGCCGTGAGGCTACCAGGATTGCTTGCCGAAGAGCGCTTATGAGTCAAGCTGGATTCAAAGCGCTGCCTGCACGAGAACAGGTGACCCGAACCACATCTTGCCGAAGAATTGCCAACTTCAGACGAGCCACCAGCAATCCCGAACCGATGAGCTTGATGCGACATCCGCGAGCAGAATGTGAAGCTGGGCCTCACCCTGCAGTGTAGAGGTTGAAAGGTCTCGTACCTTGCTTTCATTTGGCTCATGTCCTCCTCCAGCTTGGCATCCAATGACTGGAAACTGCTGGTCAGCTCATCTGCAATGTCTTGGGTCGCACAGACCTCGGACACAGACAGACAGACACAGACAACAGACACAGACGCGGAAACGGACGACCGACACGGACTCAGACGCAGACGCAGGCGCGGACACAGACACAGAGACACAGAGACACCGAGACACCGAGACACAGAGACAGAGAGACAGAGAGACAGAGAGACACAGAGACACAGAGACACAGAGACACAGAGACACAGAGACACAGAGACACAGAGACACAGAGACACAGAGACACAGAGACACAGAGACACAGAGACACAGAGACACAGAGACACGGAGACACGGAGAGACACGGAGGAGACACACAAGACACACGGAGACACAGAGACACAGAGAAGGAGACACAGAGACACGGAGACACACGGAGACACACAGAGACACGCAGAGACACGCAGAGACACGCAGAGACACGCAGAGACACGCAGAGACACACAGAGACACACAGAGACACGCAGAGACACGCAGAGACACGCAGAGACACGCAGAGACACACAGAGACACACAGAGACACGCAGAGACACGCAGAGACACGCAGAGACACGCAGAGACACACAGAGACACACAGAGACACGCAGAGACACGCAGAGACACGCAGAGACACGCAGAGACACACAGAGACACACAGAGACATGCCCTGCACCATGTCCAGGTGTTTCCACACACACACACACTACTTTCTCTGAATATGCCTGGAAACCGAGGCAAACCAGGTGTGGGTGATGATGCGTTGGTTACGTTTGGCATACTCGTGAGGGCTGGTGTTGTACCAGCATCTAAAAAAACGCAATTTCAGCACCGACATCCGTGAGCTGCGAAGCGAAGGGGAGGGGCCAGGCTGGAAACGTAAGTGAATGTGACGACACGATCTCGGGGTCCGGGGGCCCGGGGGGGGGATTGACGTCAGGCTTGGCTCACAACTCCTCGACATGTAGGACCTTACGGTCCGAAAGCAACCCGATCTCACTCACATAAACTCCTATAAAATATGTAGGTGCACGGCGCGTGCGAAACCTGTGTAACCCTCGGAGTGCTTGACATGACTTGAGTTTAGCAGGGCAAATAAAGTTGTGACGCACGGCATACAAAAAAGCTATGCTGCATGTACTCAGCGAGCCCACAGGACGAGTGGACGCCACTGAAGCGCTAGCGAAGCTTCGTGATTTGAGGTGTAGTGCGTCATGAGAAAGTGCATCCCCAAGCGAAATCCCAAATTTATCATGTGAAAGTTGTCTCAAGTGTGTCCTGCAGATTGCATGCCAAGTGCTCCATGCCAAATTGTTTCCAACCTGCTTGAAAGATTCCAAGTTTGGCATGTTCAGGCACTGCCAAGCGTGTCATGTGAAAGTGTTTCCTGGTGTGAAGTGCGTCCAAGTGTTTCAAAACTGGTCCCAAGCCCGTCATAAGGGAGCAAACGCAGGCAGTCTCATGTGTAGAAGCCCAACAAGAAGCCTAAAAGCCAACGAGGCCAAGCTGCAGCGTAGACTGTAGCCCCACACTCCAACAAAAATTTGATGTTCTCTCGTATGACGGCGGTCCCACTACCTGTCAATGTGTCATTGTGGTGTCTCTGTGAAGAACTGCTCTCGCTGGCTGTGTGACCTGTCACCAAATACACACGCCCATTCAGGTGTGGTCGGAATGTCCTGTCAATGTGACACTCCTCTACTCAGTTGCAGACACCCAACTTATATACGTGCCCTAAGAAGTCAGGTCCTGATCATGCGGTCCGGAGATTTGCTGGCAGCCACATGTGCTTCGAATCCATCCGCGGTGAAGTGCTGCCTGCCCCGACTACCAGAATCTCACGACATTGAGCAAATTGTGGCGGATGCACTGCGCCCCCTCCCAAAAAAGTCTTGCCTGCCGAAGAGGTACGGCTGCGCAAGAGCTGCGAAGCTGCCAAAAGCCAGATCCATGGCAACCAAAAATCTAAAAAGCCCGTTTCATTCACCAGAAGCTCATCGCACCACCGGAAACTCTGCAGACCAAATGAGAAAGAAACTTCCTGATGCCTAGTCCAATGCCGAAGCATGGTGCTTGGCACCGAGCAACTTCTGGCAGCAAAATGAACTGGTCCAAAGAAGTTGAAAGAAGCTTAGTGAGCAGCTGTGAACAAGTGCCGGGAGGAGTTTCAACCAATCAGCTCAACAGAACGGTGCCAAGACGCGCACTTTGCTTACGCTGAAGCACGTGCTGGAACTTTTCTTCCAGGATGCGAGCGCTCTCTACCCTCAGCTGCAACAAGTGGTTCGTGGCATGTCCCAACTTCATGTCCTGTCTCGCGTGCCGCGGCCTGACTGACTCGCAGCTATCGTGCGAAGTGCCTGCAGGCGAATCACCTTGTACAACTACGAGAGCACGGTCGGCGTAGCCCAGTACTCAACCCTCAGTGCAGGCACGGCAAGGTGCCTCGACAAAGTCGACACATCACAGATCGTCACTGCAGAACTAGAAATCCGAAGCTCATTGCCGAGCCTGTGTGAGAGCCATCTCCAGCTCGCGAAAGACAGGGCAGGGCACAAAGGCAGCACCAGAGCATACGAGAGCTATAGCCTTCAAGGATGGCTGTTCTTGCTCTTGGCAAGCTTCGGACAGCTGACTCAGCGCCACTGACACGCCCCGCAACCTCTGCAACTCGTTGTTGAGCTGCTTGGATAAATCAACCAGCTTTGCACGATGCGCAGCATTGTCCTTGGATGCGCGACACATGTCATTGCAAAAAGGAGTGAGGCACCGTTACCTCATTACACGTCCTTCGATATCCCTTACGGTGCTTTGAATTTGCTGCTCGAACTTGTGCGACAAGGCACGGCCTCTTGAATCCACGCCTTGGCTTTAGGGTTGGCAAGACAGCTGAGGCTTACTGGACGATGAAAAGCTGAGGCGGCAGCTTCCACTGTTTCCTGAAGAGGGGTTCAACGCATGTGTGACGCGTGAAGCTATGCGAATGCGAGCACCGGCATCCGGCCTGAATCTTGGGGCCACGAAGCTTGAAGTGCAGCCTGATGGCCGCGGCAAACTCTGGTCTGGGCACCCTCAGCATCTCGATCATGGCCCACCTGCCGCTACAAAAGTGCGACAAACAAGGCAGGCGAAGAACATCTTCCAAACAGGGGACACGACCGGACGCCAGAACCAGACACTCTGATAAGCAGGCGCCCTGCTCGTACCACATCAGGCCAGGGAGAGGGGAGACTTTGGCCCGCAAATATTGGGGGAAAAGATTATTACTGATCGAAAGGCTTGCCATGCACGCCTCCTATGCACGCCTTCTGTACACGCTTAACATCTGGGTTCGGGCACGCAGCTAAACCTCCGTTGAAACAATGAGCATGAGCAGCAAAGCATACCATTTGAACTCTTGCTTTGGCTTGCGATTGTCTGTGATTCAAAGTGCCTCCGGGCCTGATGCAGTTCTCACGCACTGCCGCATTGTAGGCCTTGCTCAGGCTGTCTCCACGAGGTGTACCAATTTGTGTCTCATAACCTTAGGCAGTACGTGGCTTTGGAAGCATCGAAACTGGAAGCTGCTCCTGAACGCTAACATCGCCCGCCAAGCAGCCTGGCTCATTGAAATATGGCTGCGGCACGAGGATCAACGACCTCAGTGATGTTCCAGGCGCATGGTCAGTCTTGCAGTTTTTGCAGGTTGCCATCTACCTTCTAACATCGTAGAAAGCAGAGCGACCAATTTGCTGGCCTGCTCCACCCCAGAATTGAAAAGCGTTGCGAAGCAGAAAATGGCAGTGCAAATGAGCAGGAAGTGCCAACGAATGGCAACGAAAAGGCTGGGGCTGTATGGATATGAGCACCTGGACCGCGCGAGAGCTTTGGGAATCCCAGCTCTCACTTCTCTCGCCTGGCAAGCATGCTCAGATCCTGACGACTTGAAGCATATGCGAGGTCCCCTGCCTTGCCAAGTTCCCAGCCTTGGCTTGACCGACTCATTCTATAAAAGCTAGTGGTGCTGGCAAGCCCCGAGCAAAGATAGGCACACTTTGCCGTTGCTGTACAGGTTGGGATTGAAACAGACAGTGCCGCCACCTGCCACACACGATGGTGACAATTGAGCAGGAAGTTGTGTTTTCTGGCATCGGCCTGTCGTCAAGAGCTTCACCTCTGGTGGGCCATTTGGGTAGCCAACAGGGAAGTAAATGTCAAAGACCTTGGCGCATCAACGCAGGGTATACATGTATGAGCGATGCGCAAAAGGGCGGCTGGCCAATGAGGGAGGCCCAACAATGCCCGACCAAACTCTGCGAATGCCTTGCTCCGAGCACCCAGCGAAGCAGCCACCACTGTAAGGAGTGTCCTGCAGACCGTCAAATGACCCCTGGAATCCCTCTTCCGCCCTTCCGCTGTCCAGTTACTCTGATACATCACCTGGTCACCCCGCCTAGGCCGTTTATACTTACAGCGATCAGGCCTCCGGCCCTGTGATCAAAGCCCGCCAAAGTTGCTGTCGCTGCGAACCTGCCGGTCTGAGGTGCCGGCAAGAAAGTGCAAGAATGAAGTGTCAGACCACAGCCGGCAACTCTCGAATATCCACGAAGTATGAGCACACAAACATGGCACAGGCACCGCTTCGGACAAGTACCTGTGCCAACAACAGCTGCCAGAAAGAAAGCCATCACCAAAAGCATGCTTTCGTGCGCACCCCGAAGATGTGGCTTGTTTTGCTTAGCACCCGACCTGGTATAAACCCTCCAAACTTCGCCATCTAGACCCCAAGACCGGAACTCGAATAAGGGCACCGAGGAGGAGTCGGACAGCGGCAATAAAGCGGCCAGTCCAGCCAACTCCTGTGGATACGGTCGAGAGTGCGATTTGGACCCCCAGAACGAGTGGCGCGACCAGTTTACCCGCCCTACGCTGAAGGTTGGATGCCGCAAATTGTTGGCACACTGCTTGGGAAAAAGTCCTTGGCCAATCGAACGGTGCGTGCCTTCAAGGGCGGCATTGAACACTTTGAACACTGCAGCACCTGTTCTGTTGACTTCTGCCAACACAAAGCCAGCCTGTGGTACACAGTGCTCGTTCCGCGCCACGTGCTCAAATGCATGTCCATCTGCAGGGTCAACATTGGCCGTCGCAAGAGAAAGCAGAAAGTATGACCACAATACTCCCACAAGCATGAGGACAACCTCTTTGCCTGCAAGATTAATACCTGCATGCAACCGAACCAGAGGCATGGAATCATCCACTTGCAGCAAACAGGAAGGCGATTGTCGACCTTTGCATTGAAGGATCTTGGAAGCATTGGGTTGTGCAATACAAGTTGCTACGGGCCAAATTCGCAACCGGGACATAGCTGGTAAGTATTTTCCTCGAGGCCACAAGTATCTCCCTGACAAAAAAACGAAAATAAGACGGGCCGTCCAGATGTTGCAGGTTTTGCAATTAGAGCACCTTGACGATGGAGCTGCTTACACTGGAGACACACAGACAGGACGAGATACCAGACCCATTCCAGAAAAAGCAGCACCACCATTCATCACCATTGAGGGCTACAGTACCCGGTCACGACCCTGCCTTCAATGCTGCTGGAGTCCAGCTGGTGTGCAGATAGCATTCGCCAGTACTCACTTTGAGCACTACCTGCTGCCCAACATGCTTTCAGAAAACAGATACAGCGCACAAACCTAAGGGCAAGAACTGTCCGCAGCTGCAATGCCCCACGGCCTGATGCTGAAGTTGCTTGTGGTGTGTGGCAAAGCCTGCCCGAAGTGCTTCAGCTTTGACTGGCTCCGATCATCAATTTGGCGCTCCACCACTGTATGAAGATGGACCCATGTCAAGCAGAGCCACAGCTGGATGGTTCCACAGAGAGCAAACACCAAACACATCCAAACACTGAAGGAACCTTTCCAGATCATTGGCTGTTGTCACCACCAGCTTGGCGAAGGCCACGTCCCTGGCAGTATCCTCGTGAGAGGCACACTCGCCCAGGCAACGTTGGAAGGTCTCCGCTGCAGCCTGCCCAAGGTCTCAGTGTTCTTTGCCCAATGCAAGACGGCTGCACGTGTGCACACTTTGAATAGGCTCTTAATTTGCTCCAGCCTTGGCTGATGCCAAGTGGGTTCGGATTGGTTGTAGCAAGCGAGGCGCATGCTGCCTCGGCTCGCTGTCCCACAAGGGTGGGATGGAGGGGCCACACTCCCTCAAAGTTGAATGGTCCGTCGTGGATGAAGCATCATATAGGCATAACAACTTGACGTGATGTGGCACAAATAACTTTATCACACAGGCGAAGGCAATAGACGGGACACGGCAAGCTTGCCAGCATCTGCTGCACCAACGTCAAGACTTCCTGGAAGATGCCGCATCTCTCACCCATACCTCGGAGAAGGGGAAACAGATAGGACACGCAAGAAAGAGCAGAGGACAGAGCAATCGCACGTCTCCCGGAGTGATCTCTCTCTCACTCTCGGTGGCAAATCTCTCTTGAGGAGGTGCTTGTGTAGGAGGTGGAAAGTTCTCCTGGCAGCCAATGATGCCCAGGGAATCTGCTCTCCACCCATGACCCCTCCGTCCGTCCTTCAAGGAAAGGCACCAAGCACGATTTGGACAGGAGATCTGCCAAGTCGTCCTTGCCTGGTCGAATCGAGCACAAAACAGACAGCATGACCTTGCCCCTTCGACAGCCATCATTTGCTGCATGCCACTACTATCGCTCTCTGCTGAACACTTTTACTCCACAGATGGAAACTGCGAGTAAGGGTCCAGGCCAGTGTCGTACCGTGCCAAGCTTCTGCCTGAGCTGAGCAGAGCTCTGTTTGCCTCGCAACCTCTCTCCTCGTGCCGGGGCACTGATCGACGACACCAACTGCTGCAGCTCCAGGTCCTGGAATGTGTGGCAGATCGTGGGCACTGTCAACCCTTCTTCCTAGAGGCTGAGATCTCCTGAGCCTCCTGTGCAGCTCGCAATGCTGCAGGATCCCAGCCGTCGTGTCCTGCACACACCGCGCTGGGCAATGAACCACAGGATGCGGAATGGCCACTGCCGAAGCCACAGCCTTCAGACGCTCCGACCAAATCAAAACACACGTTTCGTGATCTGGCCTTTTGCAATGCACGCAGTGCCGTAGCCCACACCGGCAGCCCATCGTCCCGAGCTCCCTGCACTTCCTGCACACGCTGGACAGCTTAGAGATGCTTAGAGTGTCACACTGGAGTTCGGACCGGCGCTGGCCTGCTGACGACGAGGAGGACTTCTTGCCTCCACAAGAACCGACGTCTTCCATCGGATGCTACAACTGTAAGATGGCTCCAGATGATGGTTTTTTTTGCTTTCGAGCATGCGGCCTCCGGAGACCATGGCACTGAAAGAGCTCGATTGGAGCTCTTCACTCCTCAGCAGCTCAAGGAGCCGAGGATCCGCTGTGTTTCTGTTCGGCTTCATGCAGCTTCATGCGGCTTTTTTTGTGGTTTCTCATCTTTTGGGCAGAGGCTCTGTGCCCATGGGTCGTCCTGACAAGCAAGATAAAGTTGAGTCCTCACTTCCCAACAAGCCAACAAGCCAGCGCCGGCCTCGTAGGCATTTCCCAAAGTCTCAAGGCGAAGGTCGACAGGAATGATACCCCGAAGGCGACCTTCCAAGAATCGAAAATTTCGCCGATTTTCCGTGGGCTTGAGCCGGTTCCAAGGCGCCGACGCAAAAGCCCAAGATGCTGCTCTATCACAGAAAAGGCGCCCTGCAAGAAAGAAGCGTAAAGCGGTGCCAAGGCAAAAAAAGAAAAAGCTGCAGGCATGCTGCAGCCTCAGGGAAATCGGCAATCGCATTCCTGTCGCTCTCCAAATCCACTCCTTCGATGACAATTTCAGTGTGTTTGCCACACAGCTCCAACAGTCAAATCATTTTTAGGCCAAGGAGTTCCTCACGGCAGCTAACCTAGTAACCGAAGACTAAAGGGGCCCGGTGCTGTAGCCTGAGGCTCGGGGGGCCTGACACTGCATGTGTCGGTTTGCATTGGTACCCGCTTGGTGGACAAGGCTCGAGCCAGGCGATCCAAGAAGCTGCGGATGGAGATCAGCATGTCCTTGGACGACCTCAAGTTGGAACACATGCTGAAAAACCAAGAAATTGCGTGCCAAAAACCCTGGAAGGCAAGGGCTTGCACTCCATGCCTTGCCAAGCCCAGGCACTGAAACGGGCTCCAACCCTTCAGCTGCAGCCGTGGGTGGCAAGCCAAAGCAGCCTGCACGTCGTGTCCTTATGCCGCAGAGCGATCTTGACTACCTGTCTTGTCTCTACAGATGAGCACGAGTTACAGACCCTTCAACGCAGCACAGGCAAGCACATGAGACTTGCCAGTGCTGTTGACAGCCAAGCATCTTCCCAGAAGCCGAGGCCGCACGATAGAGACAGATGGAGGGTAAAAGGGATGCAAGTCCTCCACTTCCGATACAGCATCTAGTACGTAACATCTAGAAAAAAGCACTGAAAGCACAACCTTGATCTGGTGTGAAACGCGGTCCTCTCGAAAGTTTACTCGGAGCTCGACGTAGTCATAACCTGGGCCAGCAGTAAGCCTAGCTGTTGATTAAAAAAATTGAGAGCCGTAGCTGCGGGCTGCAGGTGGTGGACCGCCAAAAAATGACCCAAAATGGCTGAAAGCGAAAGAACAAAACAAAAACCAGATACCCAACGACAAGAAACAGTGCGCCGTTGAGCTCTGAAACGCGTGTTCGCACGGGCTCATAGGGCTTCTTGTGTGGTACATTTCTGTCCACCTCCCCCCAACCAACCACAAGTCACATGGTACGCCGGCCAATTTTGCCAGAGAGCCGTGTCGTGCTTGAAGCTGCTGCAAGTCCTGTGCCATTTCTTGGGAAAACCCGCGCAGCTTGACGACCTGCGCAGCTGACTTTGCATGGCATAGCTGCGCAACAAGAGGTTTGCATGAGATGCCCAGGCATCTCACCCAGCAGTGAACATTGAAGTCGATGGCATCGGCTTCGACACCAGCAGTCCTTAGAGTCACTGTTTGTCACTGACAAAAACCCTGCAGAAGCTGGCAATGCCGCCGGGATGCACATGCGTCTGAAGGCTGAACAGCTCGTTAGACAAGATGTTGAAAGCCTGCTGAGGTCAAGGGGGCGACATGATGTAACTAGGACAATATCGCCAGCACGGGGTTCATGAAAGCGGCCTCGCTGGAGTTGAAAATTTGCTCGCCTTTTGCCCGCAGCTCTTCGTTACTCATCTCCCCTGCCAGAGCGACAGCCCTCCAGTGCCTCTGCAGACCTTTACTGTGCAGAACTCACGACACTTAGATACGCTTAGTGCGGCTTGCCTTTCCGCCGCTTCTGCAGTTGGCTCTGCGCCAGGCGCTGGTCTTCCAATCTTTGCTCTTCGACTTCCTGTTGCCAAGGCAGGGACAGTGAACAGCACCCTTGACCCTTGAATGACCCTTGAAGAGTTAAGCCATCACTTGGACCGATTTCAGATTTCGACGCTCGCTTCGGAAGTGCTTGGGTGGCCTGCCACTTCATCTTTTTCCAGCCGGGACGCTCTGAACGCTCTGAGGGTGTCTCGATGCAAAGGTCCACTCCTCGGACTGCCGACTGGGCATCAGCAGACATCAGAGGATTTCTAGCATGATCTCAAGCATATAGCGGCGGATCAAACAGCTGGTGCTAGCCTCCGTCATCATCGCCCTCAAAGGCAATAGTTCCGTCGGCATCGGACTGCTGATCCTCACGTCCAAAACCGAAAATATCACCTATGTTCCTTGCTTCTTGATCTGCAGCTGGATTTAAGGAAAATTGCAATTAGCACCACACCTGCACACCATCAGCTGCCCCATCATCTAAGCAGGCCAGGAGGTCAGCGTCGGCAACCTACACAACACCACGTCTTTCTGAGACAAACGCCTGTGGAGCAGCAGATGCCCTGCCTTGCTTGCCCGCAAAGTGGCCCGCAGCACATCCATCACAGTGATGGAATCTGCTGTCAAGAGGACATTTATGGCCTTGTCAGAACTGCCCCTCGCCCTTTTTAAAAACCAACGCAGCAACCCGATTGCCAAGTTTGAATACACCACGCAAAAAGCTCTTCCGATCTATTGGACTTTCACGCCGTAGTCGCACTCAAGGCCAGCATCATGATTTGCGAGAGACTATCTGTGAACAAGTAGCTTCCACCAGATCTGCATCTGCATCGTCCTGCAAAGTCTCCACTAACTACTGGTAGCATAGGGTGACACGGCGAGAAACGAAACTGTCTCAGACTGCTGGTGGGAAGTAGAACAATCCTCGCTCATCATCACGCCTCCACTGTTGGGATACACATCGGCCTGCGCAACATTCTGTAAAACATTCGGAGCCTATCTTCGCAGAATCCGCTCCCGAAACATCATGTCCTCGTAGACGAGATAGCGGAGACGGCGAGCACTCCCCTGCATTGTTATCTTGAGCTCGATCATGTTGTCCTGCATCCCCGGTTCCACTTCTGCTTCGCCGGAAGGGCATTGGACCTAACATGACCTAACTATATCTGAAAGACCTCGATGTCCAGGCGCTGCAACCATGTCTTGTGCGCGCTGAGCCGTTCGCGGATCGCCTGCGCGGAACCAGAGCATTCTTCCGGAGCCATATTTTGCCGAGTGCGGCCTGAACTTCAGCACGCAGCAACGCTTCTCCCATGAAGGACTATCAGACTATCAGATGATGTGCTGTAAAGTGTTCGGCGCTGCTTACTGTCTCTCCTCTTCCCGACACTACCCCGGGCTGCGATGTGCTTGGCACTGTTATTTCAAGAAGGCTCTGAGATGTCTGAGCTTCGCGAGTCATGCACACGTGCTGCTTGCTCCTTCCTGAACCACTTGCGCCAAATCAACATCCTACAAATGAGTCTCCAGCAAACATAAGCTCGTTCACAGCAGCTTCAGCTACCGACTTGTCGCGAGTTCTTTCGGACTTTTGACACGTTCGCTGGCATGTTCCTGTAGGCTACACCTTGCAGGGATGTGCACTTGGTGAGTCCCTGCTAAGATTACTGCCTCATCTTAGCACATCACTTGGCAACGGCTATAGATTTGAGGCGCGCTTTCAACCGACAAATAGTGCACAAGAAGAGGAAGACCCAAAAAGACTCAAGGAAGTAAGCTTCGTGCAAACCTGAAACTCCAGGGTAATGTACCTGATGGCCTGACTTCTGGTGCACTCATGGCGCATGTCAGATCTTTCTCAAAGACAAACGCCAATCCTCGAGGATTTTGCTACTCCTTTGCGTATGGCATCTGGTGCTATTAAGTGGTTACCGAGTGGAGTGGAAGAAATCAAAATCTTCGAGCCTCTTGCAATCCCGTTGAGGCCGGAGTCTGTACTGGATGAATCTGCGATTAAAATTAATTTGCACATGTGGGACTTTCTATCTCTTGGTAGTGGTAACTTGGCAGTGCGTGATGAGTTCATCCAGCGTACAAACAAGCACTCCTCGGGCTAAAAATGCAGAGAACGCCAATCCAGCAGAGCTGCATGCATGTCACCTTCGGCAATGCCTTCTGCAACTCCGAGAACCAGCACAGATCCCTCTAATTCCTTGCACGCCTTAGCTCAAACAGAGCTCTTTGACTTTGACACACATCTCCTGAGCGGTTCGGTCTCTGTGGCCCTGGTCTGGGCTTCACGAGCACCTAGGATGCGCGAGATGCGAGAGACAGGCGCTGGATTCATCAGGCACCTCGCTGTGAGCTGCTTGGCTGTGCTTCGGCTGTGTCACCATGACATCATCGATCCCAAGCACACTGCCGTGGTCACTGTGGTCACGGTGCTACGGAAACCTGGGGAAGGCATTCACTCCGCATCTGACATTGCACAGTTTTGTTTAGACCAGGACATGCAGGTCACCGAGGCAGCGTGGGCTCGCAAATGGAGGTAGACTATTACCGCATGCTGAACAGGCCCAGCGGCGCGCTGCGATCATCAAGCTTCAGTGTGCTAGCATTCATCTTGGAAGCATTCATGCCTCAGCACACAGAGTGTGCGTGAGAGCATCGCGATAAGTGATCCACAAGCAAAGCTGCAGAGTCGGCTCGCACAGGTGACTAGCAAGCATTCCCGACTCGGGAATCGACCATCCACCCCTGGAAGCGATGCACTCCGGCTCAGAGTCCTGCAGAACTGGCATGTGCCCCAGAGGCAAAAAGCAGATTCGGTGGAGGCAATTCGGAGAGAGGGAGGAGTCATGACACCACACTTCGATACTGAGCACGATGGATAAGGGTGCGGGTGGGAGGACGTGGATGACGACATTGATGATCTGATGAAAACAACTGGATGAAGGAATTCTGTTCATCTGGTCAGAGTGGCTGCGACTGCTCTTAGAATTGAGCTTGGGGGCCTGACTGCTGCCGCTGCACCAACTGCTGACACCATGATTTGCGCCGGTCTCCCTAGGGACATCCACACTTTGAGCCTCCTCTTGAGTGAGAAGACCAGTCCGGACATTGGCGGTTTGAAGAACTGCCCCTGCGTCTCCTTAGCTCAGGAGACCAGCAGCGAGAGCACATGGCGCAGCTCTTGGCTATGCGACAATGATCCAAAGGCTGCTTCTTCTGCTTCTTTGCCGCCGCGAAACCAAGGCCAAGCGACTGCCCTCCCGCCAGGAGCACCCGACCTCAATGACAAGCATTGCGACTTAGATGATCTTTGCAGAAGACAATTTGCATGAGTACGAACCCACCTACCGTTTTTCTGAGCGCCTTTGCGGCCAGCAGTGCTAGCGCATTTGTGGGGTACACATGGCTGTGAAAGATCGGGCCGGATATTGACAATCGGCAAAGCCGACATACTTGTGGACGGTACAGGCTGCACCTTGCAGCAGCAACATATGTACATTGCACCGTCAGGAGACTCCATTCATTCAATCACCAAGACAGCAGTCTAGCTGACACTACTACTCTTATGCAACTCGATGCAAACACTGTCTGTGGATGTCAATGGACAGATTTACGCTTCTGTCGCACGTGCCCAGACTTTGGGGCACTCGTAGGCGTGACCACCAGCGACTGCGAACCTTTGGCTACCGACGTGACTGCTCTCTTTTGGCCAATCCTCGGAAAGGCAGGTGCATCCTTACAAAAAGCTGCTTGTGACAAACCGTGATTGCTCGAACCAGTGGTCATCTTGCTCAGGCTGCACTGCTATGATAGGGCTTCAGGCTGAGGCAAATTTAGCCATGCAGGGTGGCCTAGACCAGAAGTACCCCAGCCTTTTTGCCATCAAAGCTCCTGCTTGCCAGTGCCTTCAGAGCGCAGTCAAAAGCACAGGGGGGGGGGGGGGGGGGGGGGGGGGGGGGGGGCGGCTCCCTGCAACCCCGAAAGCCGGACACAGCTTTTGCATGTCTGTTGATAATGAATACCTTGGACTCCAGCCTTGAAAGCATCAAAGGAGATCCGGCATTCACTTTCAAAGAAGCAATCTTCTCGTGTCCTGGGCTCAGGTGGCGCACACGAATTCTCCGGACTTTGTCTGATCTTCGTCAGCCTGACTTGATTCGCCTCTTGAGAGAAATCTTCGGGTAAGCTGCCCGAAGACTTGGTCAGCACCCGCTTCTCCAACCGCCCTGGCTTCCAAACAGAAACGTCACAGGTGCCCATTGTATTTTTGCTATGTGGTTTCCATGTCTTGGCATGGTTAGACAGAACAAGATTTCCAGATGTCTCCAGCAGCGGCGCGACAAGCTCCCCCCCCCTTTGCCTCTCGATGTCACCTCGTGTGATGAAGCCATTGGCTTCAGCATCCAGGCGTCGGAAGCAAGCAGACAGCGCGCACTCCTCGTCAAAAGGGCTTCGGAAGGTCCAGGCGACAAGAACTCAGGAACTTTGCTGTCAAGAATCTGACTCAAGGACCTTGGGTCCAATGGTAGCAGCGAGCCACTCCTGATAGCCTGAGGGCAAAAAAACACAAAACACATCAGACTGCACTTTGCCCAGTCGACGCCGAGTAGCTGATGAGGTTGTTCTCATCGAGGTCTATCGCATCAAAGACTTCCCGGATAGCTTCTTCCTCACAGACAACCCACATCAACAAAGATGGGTGGCCCCATGGGTGGCCCCATGGGTGGCCCCATGGGTGGCCCCATGGGTGGCCCCATGGGTGGCCCCGACAACGCACGGAGGTGTCCATGTGCAGGCCGAGCAACGTCAATATCGACGTCATGCTCCCTGCCACATGGGCTCGAACTGCGTCTGTGTTGGTTGCTACTCTACTCGTTGCATAACGCCATCGCATACCTAGGCCTACACGTTACACAGTCAAGACTCCAAGACAAACTTGGATGCTTGACTTGAGTGCTCTAAAGCATTGCACCTGAAGCCAGAAATCATCTCTGACAGCTCGAGAAGGCCATCATTCGACTTGTCAAAGGCTCGGAATGTCCTCACTGAGAAAAGCAAACATACCAGCCTGCCCTGCAAAACTACGTAGCATTGAAAAACTTTCCGGCTGTAGTCACACTGCTACCAGGAGAGACAACGTAAGGAAACCCCTAACAGGCGTCCGTCGGAGCAGCGCAGTCTTGCTGTCGGGCGCGTGGTCGGCTACCAGTGACACAATCTTCTTCTCAAAGACGGACAGCTCTGTGAAGGTTCCTCACGCACATCGAATATGCACCCATGCCGATACTGAACCTGGAGACCGTCCCTCTCAAAGAATCTCAGAACAATGTCACCGAGACTCGCAAGTTGTAGAGTAGGGTCCCTTTCTCCAGCAGCGCAGCGGAGGCTGATGTGGCAGGGTCCGTCACGCGCATCCATTCCGCCTGTGTGCCCGAGACAAATTTTGCCGCGCTAAGATTTGACATCGAGAAGTCGACCGATGCCTGCAAAATGTCAGAGGCGCTACAGCGTTCAGACGGATCCATCACCAAGACCTGTTCACAAGATACGAGCCCAGGAAGACATGACTTCTAATACAGCATCAGCATGGACTTCCTAGGCATCCTCTGTACGGACATGCTACCCAATGCTATCCGACCTTGTCCAGGATGCTGACAACTTCCGGATAACCCTCGAGCAAAGCACGGTTCCAGGGAACCTTGTTTTTGAAAGCACGGTACCTGCGCAGGCAAGGACGTCATCAGAAGATGGAGCAGCGAAACAGACTTGGCAGTTTCAAAAGTATTTCCTACATGTCCGAACGACTATATACTTCAACGTGTGCAGCATGCATATTGACATGTGCACAGCAACTCCGATTGACACGATGAAAAGAAGGACTCTGAAGGCCGGAGCCTTTCTAGAAAGCTAAGAATCTTAACGGCTCGGCTAGTGCTGACAGGCAGCATGTCGATCCACTTGACACAGAAATCCTGACCATCTTCACGGTCCAGGTTGGGGTGCTGCAAGCTGCCCAGCCTGTGGCAATCCCATCTTGAGTGGCCAGGCCAACAACTGCATGCTGCGCACTGCTGCTTTGTGTTGAAGATATCAAGGAAAGACGGAACTAAGACGCCCCACAAGAAACTCAAGCAGACTTCTCCTCTCGCTCGCGACGGACACGACACGTGTACACATGCGCTGCACGGATGATGAGGTTTTAACATGGCCAGACAGAGCTCAGGTGTCAGGACACACCGTTGAAGTGGAAGCACACAGATAACCAAGCCAAGGGTCTCGATGGCGGTCATGATCCAGGTCAAGATGACGCCTAAAGCCCAGACATCGGTCTGTCCAGTCAGCTGTGGTGACGGATTCGTGAACGTCTCCGGTGCCATGAAGACCATCGTACCGACAGGAAGGTTCTCCTTGCATAGCACTTGTGTGTTGTCGGGCTCCCCCATTTCTTGCTCTTGTGTCTAATATGGAAGCTGAACCAAAACTCAACAGCAAAACGCAGCAGAAGCGACCCACTATGGGGCCAGGGCTCGTAGTCCCCGTCCGTTTTGAGCGACGCCAAGCCAAAATCAATGAGTCTCGCCGTGCTACTTTCGCTGCAGTCGGACAGCAGCACGTTGTCCGGCTTCCTGAAGCAAACACAGGAAAAGATCCCTGCAAGGAAGCAGCAATTGGCTGATCAGATGGTTATTGCAACGACACTTAACGAGCTGCGGCTCAAATCACGATGAATCACGGTAGGAACGAAGTTGTGAATGTAGCTGACGGCATAGGTCACCTCCCGGAAATGCCTGGTGATGTCTCGATGCTTTTGCCCCGTCCTCCCCTCGACTGACAAAAGCACACGAGAAATGGCAAGGGACCGCCGCAGCTTCTGCAAGTAGGCTTTGCGCTCGGTGTGCTCGGAGAGCTTGCACACGTCCTGTTAGGGACAACAAACTCATAGTGTCATAGAGGCTCTGCAGCGAACCTGGCGAGCAAAAAGTCAGCTGCTGCCAGAGAAGGGTGCAACTCACATGCGGCGTTCCTCAAGAATGCTCTGGAGAGATGGCCCTGTGCATAGCTCCGTTACGAAGAATATGCCCTTGCAGGGATCTTCGAACCACTCGCGAAACCTAAGCACGATATGTTCCCTGGCATTGCAAAAACTGTGTTGCAACGTCACGGCCCTTGCAGCCAGGGTGCTTGATGATGAACGGGTTGTCCAATATCAATAGCAGCTTGAGCTCCTTTCGGATCTCTTTTTCGGCGGCCCGATTTCGAAAAAAGCCCTGCCTTGATAGTGCTGCTGGATTGATGCAAACACTTGCATACACAAAGCACTGGCCGCTAGTCTCTGCCAAGATTCCAAACAGCTTGCCACCTGATCCTGGCAAAGGCCAGGATCAAAAAAAATGCACTTCACGCAGGAGCTGAACTTTGGCTTGATTGGTTGTTGTCGAACATAGCAGTAGCAGCAGCACGCCCTCACTGACTGGCCGAGCCACTGCTTCACAGCCACGAAAGAGGCTCCACATTCATCCATGTCATTGACACGCCACTTGGAAACCGTTCCAAAGGCACCCTGGCAACAGACGGGACCCAAAGCTAGCAGCTAGCAGCTAGCACGTGCGGACAGCAACTGCAACACGCGAGCATCTTACTCTGTTTTCGCTATTTGCTTCGCAAGTCATTGATGACGCCATCCACCTTTACAGCAACAAGGTCGAACAACTCAGCGGCTTCCGTCTTCATCGCTTCAACCCAGGACCCTGACTGTCGATGGTCCCAACCCAACTGGTACATGTACGAGGTGTTCTCGTCACCTCCCAGCTCAAACTTGGTGTCATGCGCAATGTTGTAAACTCTTATCAACCCCTGCATTTCGCCGTCAGCACATCTACCCCGCCAAAGCAAGTGGAGATCCATGTCGTAGTACAAGGCTCGCTTGCCTTTCTTGTTTGTGATGGCCACACTAATTTTTGTCGGCTGGGCTTGGAGGTCCGTAATTTCAATTGTCGCACCGTTGGAACAAGTGTGGCACACGCCAATCACGGCATCGCGCAGCCGGCCTGTTGCCCAATGGGAGTAATCTTGTTCTTCGATATACTCCTTACTCACTTGCTTTGCATAACCAGAGGTGTGCTGAGAAGTCTGCAGCTCCGCGCCCTGCATTCGCTGAACCTCCGCGGTTTTTTCGTTTTCCTTCTCCCTCCGCTTCTTGTCGGTGTCGGCTTCTGCGGATGCCCGCAATTTCTTAAGCCGCTCCACCTCCCCCTGCAAGCGCTGCAGCTCTGACTTTGGTGAGTTCTTTTTGGCATATCGCAAAGACTCTGTCATGTCGTCCACTGCCAGCTTGAACTCTTTCAGAGCTTCGCAAGCTAATGCCCTCCTGTAGTACAGCTTGGACTGGTCATAACTCTCGTCTCCAGCCTGCTGAACGGCGAGAATCGCAGTGGTCGCCTTCTTCTTGGCCCGATCAGGCCAGTCGAGCTTCAGCAGGCAAAGTGCTGAGTTGCTCAAAAGTGTTGCAACTGCGCCTGCAGACACGGACGACGATTGCTGCTTCAGAAGCTCAAGGCCCTTTTCGTAATGAGCAAGAGCTTCAGGCAACTTCCCCGCTTTGAAGTGCTCATTGCCTTTGAGGCGTGCCTCGTCTGCATCTTGCAGGTCTTTGACAAGCAGCAACTGCTCCAGTTGAACTGGCTCACGTCGCTTCATGTCGCCAACTCGTTCTGCACGACGTAGGTCCGACTCCTCCACAACCAAGCCCTGGCCCTGGAGAACCATAAGCGCTTGCATGATGCGCGGATCTCGATGCGCGGCCTGCGCGACCTTCTGTCCGACCGCCGCCGCATCCTCCATCGACGCAGTTTCGGGGGCATCTTTGGCCAGCTGCTGCAGCCTTTTTAGCTCTGCGAGGAAGCCGGCATCAGCCAGATGCTTGCGCACGTCAGGGTGCTGCGCAAGCTTCTCAAACAGGCTATCCTCGCAGAGCGATGCTGTCAGCGGATCCATGAATGTCACTGCGGCAGAAAGTTCTTAAGAAGCACAGCAGTTCCTGATGCACCAGTAATCATCTGTGTCATCATGAATGTGCACGTTGGACCCTGTTGGACCGTTCTTCGACTACGTTGTAAACAGCTTGAAATGTGTCCGAGCGAAAGCATCCACGATACTGGGGCGAGCTGCGCATCATCAGGGAATCGACCCTGCACTCTTCTCTGCAGGGACAGAATTCCTGCCTCTCCAATTACCTCCACCTTGGAGTAGAAATCTGTAATGGGCCATTTGGCGCCCCGGACTTTCCTCACCCGACAACAACATACAAGAACTGGCACACGTGACCAGCTACGAATGCTCATTGCATCCTTGCACAATGTTGCAATGACAAACGCTTGGGATAAAAGCCCGGAGCTCCAAAGGTGCAGAATGTTGTTGGCGCGCTTAGTCTCGCCACCATCGAGGAGATCGTCAGGGTTCATCCTCTTCGGTGTGATATAATTTCCTCAGATCAGAAGAGGCACTGCGGCACTGTGTGGCTCAACATTGGTGCATATTGGTGCGAGGCGCTCAGTGGAGTTATGGAGGATGACCAACTGCGAGAACGCAGCATTTGCGGCGAATCTGGGCCAGCGGACAGCGGACTTGCAAGGGATTTCATGTCATGGCACGTCCACAGCGGGGCCTACGTCCGATGCCAGGTCCCAGCCAAAGCTGCCCAAGCGAGGAAGTGACAGGACTCGCCTCAGATGGCACACGGCAACATCACGAAGTGGTGTTTTCATGTGGTTCAGGGCTCCAGTGCAGACATGCCAACACCCACACTGAATCCGCTTGTTCCTTCCACTGCCAAGAAAGATTTGCACCATAGAATGCCATAGAGCAGCTCCAGATCTAGATTCTAGATCGCCGGCACACGACTTCTTGTGAACAGTTGGAATATGCTCAAACAACACTGAATGTCTGTCGTTCATGCCTTCAGCGCCCAGCTAGCTCTCTAGACTTGTGCGGTACCAGCGGCAGGCCTGCCTTTGCATCGCTAGTTGGTGTAGCAGCGAAGCGGGTGGTGCAACCCTTTCAGGTTTCAAAGCCACTACGTGTCACTAGCCGACGAACATTCCCGTGGGCACAGAGCTGAACCCGTTTTCAGCGGGCCTCCAAGCATCTGCAGTCAAAACATGCAGATAGGCAGGCGCCCATGTCTGCAGAGACGAGTACACAAAGGCATCTACAGCGTGGTTAGGACAATCTGTTTGCTTCGGGGAGTCTGATCATCTCAACACGGCAAAAACCTTCCAAGTTTCCCGTCAGACTTTGCGCTTCAGGAAACCACGCTTTTGTCTGATGCATGTTCGCCAACCATCGTGCTGAACCAGGGCGGTGTCTCGAGGCAACATGATGCAAGCACATCTGGTCATGCGCCCAGCTTGAACAACCTGCAGACAAGAGCATAAGAGCTGAACAATATTGCCCGAGATCTTGCCCGGAATGAGACCTCTGCCAAGGAATGTTGCTGTTGCCAGGCCACCAAGCCAGAAGCACATGGGAGTCTAATATGTGTACCTCTGCACAAGCATCCAGGTCATCCAAGGAGCCACTGTAACCAGCGCAAGCGGAGTAAGCCTTAACTGCTGGGCGCCCCTCACCACACGCAAATCTTAGCTCTCCAAACTCTCGTTCGATGCATCTGAGCAGCTCTGTCCATGCTGGGCAGCTTCTTTTGGACCGGGTGAGCTGCACGTTCTTTGGCCCTCTTCCTGTTCGGTAGTCTAGTGATGGCTGACCACTGCCATCTAACAGGCCATTCCCCAATTTCCCCTCGTGTATTTTGACGTCTTCTTAGCTTGAGCTTGAGAAAACTGCCCGCCGGGGCTCCTCATGGTGTCGTAATGCAACTCCATCAGTCCAGACCTTCCGCGAGTTTGACAGCTAATAACAGCCCCTGTGCGAGAAGATTGACTTAAGGAGCGCATGCAAGAGTTGAACGACGGTCTGCTCTGAGGCGCCGACGAGCTCTTGAGCGCAAGCTGGTGTCGCGATGGGGAAAGTGATCCGTTGTGAAGATACTCCTCGCTACCGAGTCCATGCGTCATCCGGTGGCAAACTTCGAAGACGTGCACAGAACATGTGCTGATCGGTTCCTCGAAGACATCCTGTTGGTCCTGGTACTTGGGGGGGAAGCGTTCCAGCTCCTTGTCACGACTGCACAACCTGTCACCAGCCCTTGCAGAATTATGAGACATCGCCGTTGCTTTTGCCAGAAACTTGTTGATGTCCTCGGTGTCCTTCCAAAACTGCGACTTCGTGGAACGGTACCTCCCACGAGCTCCGGCTAGCAAAACCACGATACCGCTACTTCTCTCCAGCATCCCATCCTTAAATCTCTGCCGGCCGTTGATGTGGCTGGAAACCTGTATGTGGAATCGGCCTAGTCGCCTTGTCAACCGGAACTGTAAGCTTACAACCCATGCTGTACGACCACTCCGTTACAGGCTTCGCTCCACAACCACAAAGCACCTTCAGCTCTTATAATGGTCTTATAACATGAGAACAACCAGGGATTGTGGGGAGGGGGGGGGGTGGGGGTGGGGTGGGGGGGGGGGGCACTTCTCTGGTCCAAGTGCCAGCACCGTGTTTCCGCGGTTGAAGCCTTGGATTGCTAGGTCAGCGGCCTGTTTTTGGGCACAGTGGTGGCAAACCTTGAATCACCTTGACACCACTTTTACCCCAAAGTTCTGCATGCGTCCTTGGCACCCATGGTTGTCGAGGCTTTGCCTTGCTGCGCGTGGAACAGACGGACCCCCCCCCCCCCACCCCAGCTCGCTATGACTCCCGTTCGGTTCTTCTGCTTCAGCATCGGATGAAGGAGCAAAGGGAGTGTACCATTCATAGTCGAGCTGCTGCAGGTGGCACAACCGAGCGCTGGGAGTTTGAACCAAAAATGGCTCAAAGCCAGCCAACATCGAACTAAGCCGCACGTGCAAGAAAGCTACCCACTAATTGTTGAAATCGCAGATGTTGCATAAACAGCGAGTAACCCAATCATATGAGGTTCCTAGAGTACGCTGTATGCACTCGCGATTTTCAATTGTTAGAGCACGTTCCTCAGCTGGCCTTTGGATGAAACCCCAGTGCCACCCTTGTCCGAACCTCTCAGGAAAGAAATCCGAAATGCAATCCATCTCAACTTGGTTCAGCAGGGCTCCGCCCCTTCCACCTCAATCTTCCACCAAAATAACCTGGTGCCTCTTGCATGCGGGTGAGGTGCAGGTTGCTATACCCCAGGGAGAACCTAAAGAAATCCCGAGACCGAATGAAGCTGTGTGCAGGTATACCCGGGTTGTGGACCTGCCTACTTGATCACGGCGGATTTGTTTATCCCGAGCTCGAAACTTGCACAGCGCTGTACTGAGCTGTCCAGATCATCAAACTCACTGCCGCTAGCGGGCATAAGTTGCCAGGCAGGAAGTACGAACCTTGGCGTCTTGTTTCCCTTAATTTCCCGCATTTCCCCTCCCCACCCCCCGAGGTCACAAGGACAACGTGCATGAACTGCACTGCTGGGCATTGCTTCGGAGCTGGCAACCTCTCTTCTGCGGACAGGCTCACCAAAGCATGCGAAGCGTTGATGACCTCCATTGGCGACGGCAGACTCGAAGTTGTCAGGCATCGTCTAACGTAATTCGTCATAATCATACTCCAATCACTTTTATTTTAGGAGTCAATGACAACATGGCCTCATCAATTCTCCCGTGTCGCCAATCGTGCCCCTCGAAGCTTGGAGCTAGCTTGGACGTGGATGCACCGAAGCACCCGCACCATCCAATCCACACCTGCCTGCATCAAACCAGACTAGGTTGGCACACAGTCACAGGCAATGACAACATGTAGCACCGAAAGCAACATGAATTACGGCATGTGTGACTGTTATTTTGTACAGACTGCTGCTTCTACTGCAGCGCCTCTTCCCGTGAAACTCTTGCACAATTCAACAACGCTCGATGAGCATGACCAGAACAGCAATTGACACGAACGCACCCCTACAAGCAGCAACGTGTTTCTACTATTCCTGTCGTTGCACATAATACAGCTTGTACCATGGCTTGGCAAAACCGTGCATCTTTGACGCCGAGCCACTGCCCCGACTCACAGTTTGCTCGTGTGCGGGAACCCAGGGCTTCAGCACTTGGCCCTACCAAACGTCGAGGGCAGTGGTGAGCAAACACCTGATAGCAATCGAGACAGGACAAGCACGTCGAGCACTGTGCTCTTTGCCTTCCCCGCTACTCTTCCGTTACCTTTGTCGCCAATGCTCTCATCTTCGACGTTTGCACTGTCGCGTAGACACAATGAAGCCGATGGGCTTGCAGGTCGTTGCCAAAGTGGAAGATGTCGGCGTTTGGTGCCACAACTTCCAAGTCCTTCTTGGGGACGTCAAGGCATCAGAAACGTGCGCACAACGGTTTGCTGGCGCAAGGCCAAAAGAACTCCAAGGTTTGACCTGCAACCTCTCTATACACCTTCCGCTCCTCGGCATCACCTAGGCCAGGTTCTTTGGGCGTTCTCTTCGGTTGCATGTGGTGCTGCATGGCATCATGCACGGCATCACATCTCAGCTAGCGGCGAAATGCCAGCAGCAAGTTGCAAGTCTGGTTGCTGGGTATTGATGGCAAAGGATGCCTGGACAATGTCCCTTCAACTTCAACTTCAAGTATCCTCTCCAGAAGAAAGCACTGGAACTGAGGCTCATAAACCAAGGAGCCCATCCAATGCCAGATGGATGGAACCCTGCGGACCGTTTGTGTGGCCAGTGTTCGACAATTCCAGTCCCATGGTCCCAAATCCTTGCAGGCATTTCAAGGCCATCAAAGATGCAACTCACAACTTGGAGAACTTTTGCCATGCTAGGAAAACAGCGGGTGGTCCTGCCATGCGCATGTGCAGCTTCAGCGGTGGGCCTAGGTTGGTTGATAGCAAGACCTTGTGTGCAGAAATCTTGCCAAGCATTGATTGGGGCTGTAGATGTGGCGCCGCCCAGACCAACCGAAGCGACTCAGCTACACGTGTCACATGCGGGACTGCCGGAGAGGCAATCGACTCTTTGACTCGAGTCCAAGCAAGGCCGAGTCGCCCCACGACCAACTAAGTCCAGTCCCCCTTGTCTTCTCCTTGCACTGCACTTGTTATGCTATACGGATTGCTGCACGCAGGTGTGCCACGCCATGCAACAATGAGAAGTTTGGGCGTCGTCCTCTTCGTACCAGCCTGGGCAGTGCTGGGCGATGCTTTGTACATGATCACCTTGCCCTCACGAACCGAACAACGCACGCCAAAGGATCCAATGCCCCATGCACATTGCAGCCAGGTAGCAAGGGGCCTGCCTAGATGCAGCTGATGAAGTCGTGGGGGCCTCCTGTTCGCTGGGCTATAACACGACAAGGGCTTTGGAAATGCCTGCGAGCCTGCCGCAACAGGTTGGTGCTCGGAGTACTTGGACCTGGAGTTGAAAGCAGCTGACAAACGCACAAGCTGCTGCCGATGAGCGATTTTGCCCGCAAGCACATCGGCCAAGACTAGTGCGAAGTGACTTGCCACGTACACGACCAAAGCCTCAGTCAGGCTTGCTCGAACAGCAGTATAACATATTGAAACATGTGGTACTGAAGTCCCCAAAGCCTAAATCCAAAAGGCTTCCATAAGTGGAGCTGAAGCAGCTTACCAGTGGCGTCGCCTGTCCCCTTTGAAGTGTGAATGGTCCATCAACCGTCACCGGTGGCGAAACAATCGGCCGATGATGCACATACCTTGGCATGTCTTTCCGGGCTGCGCGGCTGTCAGCTGTAAGGCTGTCGGCACGGTGAAGGAAGCCAGTTTTGTGGGCAAGGATCATCAAACGAAAGCTTCCAACTTGATGCAGCCTGGTGACGCGAGAAACAGAAACCTGCAAGGAAAGAGCCAGAACATACGCACAACGTAGCCCTTCACCCAAAAACAGCAGATACTCTCACCGTTTCGGAAGACATTCACACAATGCTAGGGAAGTTTGAAGATCAGGCACACTTGCAAGACCACAACGAGAAGGGCGCAGGCAAGCCGTCCAGAGTTCCACATTCAGCTCGGGTCCACCATGGCTTGCAGAGCGTGCAAGGTCCTACCCCTGTTGGCAGCCAAGCTCCTGTCTTGGAACACGATCCGGCCATGGCAAGATGCCGCAAGGCATGGCAAGCCAAGGCCCAGAATGACCCTCGGTGAATCACTGGAAAGCCAACCCCGGTTTTTAACCGCCTGCGAGCAGAGCTAGAGAGGCATCTTGCTCCTTCGGGCTACACTGCCTCTGGCAGGTTTGCTGCCCTCACGGTGGGTGGCACCAATTTACACTCTCAACAATGCCATCAATGTGCAGCTGTGTATGGATCACTCGTGTCAGTAGGGCAAAGTTGCCTAGCGGCCTAGCTTGCATGCCACCGACCAGCACATGGCTGCGGAACTGGAGCGACTTTGTCCCCTTGCTTCAGACCCTCAGCTGACTCGAAATCTGCATGCAGCCAACAGGGGCTAACCATCCATGGACAGGCAAAGCGCCTGAAACAAAGGCATCGACCATGGCCACTGTCATGGCAGATCGGTCTGTACAAATGCAAGCCCTAAAGGGCCTTCTCGCCATGGTTAAGACATCTTAGCAAGCAAGTTTCGTTGCAAGCCCGGGCAGCCGCGTCTGACAAAGGATAGTTGCTACAGACACCGCACATACCCACGGCTGTCCGGCACCTGCATCGACACTTCCTCACTTCTTCTGCCACGCAACCAGCCAGTGGCATTCGGCCGACTCGATCTCCTCCGTTGTGCTGAGAGACATTCAATTCATTTCAAGTCCGATTATTCGCTCCACAACTCTGCATGTTTTGGTTTTGTGGCCTTGCGTGGTAATGGGCGTCCAGATGAGAGCTGCTGTGCACGGCTGGGCAGAGTAGGCACCGGGAAATGCCAGTGGCTGCCATCGCAAGAAACCTTTCATGGTGCCGCTGCAAACGCTAGTCCACACACCAACTGGTCTCATGGTGAGGTTGCGGAAAGCACCAAGCCCGCCGACAGAGCTGCCCGACCCCTGACCTTTGTCCATGGACACCCGCTATGAACGCCTTTCCGGACCTGTGGACCTGTTCTCCGGCCACCTTGCGCTAGTCGCTGGGCTTTTGAAACTTGTATGGCCCTCTGCACCTCCGATCAATGTCCCCCGATAGGGCACCCTTTTTCATGCCGGACTTGATGATTGTCAGCCCGCCTGCCCTGCCAGCTGTTTGAACCCTCAACCCTCTAAACCCTGTGCGGGCAACTTTCTGTACCGCCTGCGGATCTCCGCGACCAAAGTTACTTAAGCTGAGTGAGCCTTTCAGCGCACCTTTTGCAACCGGAGATAATGTATGTAGCGAATTGCCTCTAGGAGGGCATACAAACCGAACTGCAAGGCCCCATCACTCAATCGCTATCTGATTTCTGACCGATGCTACATGTTGAACATTGGAAAAAAACACCCGGCACCGCAGACTGCACCTGCGCCTGCACAGAATACAGGTCCGGAGGCGTCAGCGTAACTTTGCAGTTCCTTACTGAAAGTGCGCGGCGCTCAGGACACGTCCCGTTTTCAGCTTGGACTTCTTAGCACGGGTCAAGAGAATCGCTTCTTGCCACCCAAAGTTCTCCACATCTGAGGCTTCGGACCAGATGCTGACTCTGGTCATGTGTCTTCCCTGCCACTTGAGGAACGCGCGGTTGCCTGGCGTCAGCAACTCCCTAAAGCAGTGTGGGGGCTTTAGGAGGATTTGGGGTCACCCATCACCTTTCGATTGGCCTGCTACTGCGTGTCTCCATGACTGAATGCAGGAGCAGATGCCGACCATTCGCCAGTGATGATCTCGCATGTGATCGTTGCTGACCTCAGATGGCTCACACAAAAGCGCCGACACTTTCCAGAATTAACAAGTTTGTCACATGGCAAGTGGGGAGAGTAATCAGGACCCGGTGCCAGCTCACCTCCCAGTACCCTTCTCAAAGCTACTGGTAGCCGACATGTCGCCAAACCAGATCTGTCAAGACACCACCTGTACATGCCTGGCACCGCGGCGGGCGGAGGACAGCGCCGCAAATAGCCAGTACCAATCATCACCTCAAGTGCAAAACACAACCCTTCGAGAGGTGAATGTGCATCACACCCTGGACCCAGCACCAAGGTCGGCACAGTCCTTGGCGGGTACACGGACTAGGCACTCAGACTCCTGGCAAGGAAGCCAGGCATCTAGCCGACATGTTGCGCAATCACACAAGATGGCATAGACAAACACCACAAACAAGCCATCCAGCGAACAGCGATGAGCTCGGGCAGCCTTCCACTGCCGAATGAAGCCCAGCGGTGTGCCCGAGGGCGCTGTTCGCTCTGCTTCGGTGATGGGGTCCTGCCCAACACACGAATCGACCCAGCTTTCGCAGGCCAAACAGAAATCGGATGACCCCAAGCAGTGAGAGCCCATGTGAGCCCACACGTCCAAAAACGACGACAGTTTCGCAGTCGGCGAACCCCGACGCCCAAAACCGACGAGAGTTTTGCATTTGGTGAACGCAGACGTCCAAAACCGACGACAGTTTCGCATTTGGCGAACCCTGACGTCTAAAAGCATCGATTTTGGTGAGCACAGATGCCCAAAAGAGGACAGGTTCCATTTCGCAAAAGCAACGACAGTCTCGCATTTCGCAAGCACCGACATCCAAAAGTGATGACAGTTTCAAAAAACGAGCGGCCACGCCCGCGCCTAGGCGAGAGAGCGATTTTTCATCCAACAAGCGAGCAGGCTATAGTCCGAGCCGCGCGCACCGGCCGCGCGCACCGTGCGGTGACATTGACCTACCCCCGCTTGCTCTTAACGTTGGAGCCGCCTTGTGCTGACTGATTGGGGAATCATGTCATGCCAGAGGCTGCAGTCGAGGCTCGAAGGGGTACTGGATCTCTGGCTCGCCATCCTGCCGGAATGAAAGAGGGATAGTAGGACTACGGAACAAGTTCGGCATTTGCCGGCTCAAGGCATGTCGAACACATGATGCTATGCTGTCACCAAGTTCGTGTGTGGTCCTCGTGATCCTCCGGTGATTCGTCAGAAGAACCGAGTCCTGACTCCAGGTTGATCTGATCCTCAGATAACTGCGAGTGCCCAGCCGAACATACTCATATATGATCCCGGTTCTTGGTTCGCAAACCCCCCATGTTAACCCCCCGAACAAGCCTCTGTAGATCGCCGGGCTAAATTGCCCTCAACCCTGAAAGCCCCCGTCCTTAACCCCCAACAGCACCACGGGGGGCAACCCCAAACCGTAAACCTAAACCCTAACCTTCAACAGAACTCAAGTGGACCAGCTACTGCCCAATCTATTTGTGGAGCCATTGCCCCGGGCCAGTACGGGTCTATGAGTCCTCTGCACAGCGCGTCATGGCTTTCATGGATACTGGGGCTTGTATAGCTGTAGCGCTTCTCAACAAACTTCCCTGCATGTCGGTAGCTCGGAGTCTGGGCCCCCTTCATTTGGGCGAATGGCACACTAACCAAAACTGTACTTCGCTCAGGCTTGAGGACTTGCATGTTTTGTTATCATGTACCACCATCTCGATTTGTAGCGTCAGCTTGGCTAAAGTTGCAACGTGATTAGTATTGTTACCACAGGTTAACAGTAACTTTCTATATGTTCCTGCGGATTATTATTCTCTTCTTACTAGTTTTCAATAGACATCTCTCTAATCTTTAGGCTTAAAATATGATCAATAGGGCAAAAGATCCCCTAATCTATATCTATTTTACGGGGTTTTTTGGCATGCGAACAATATTATTCTGCGAACGAAATAAAAACCAAGGTTGACCGTGCTGCGAATCATTCTCGGAGGTCAACCGCCTTAAGTCCAAAAGCCTAACCCCAACCCCTAATCACACCGCAGGCAAGGGGGAGGGGGGCGGGCCACCACCGCCGGCTCAAAAAAAAGAACTATTTCCTTCGATCGTCTTCACCACCAAAACCTAACCAATGTTGGGACCCCTTTTCGGATAATGTTGACTTCACATTAATGATTCCCGCTACAATTATAAAATCCTGCTGCCGGAACACAATAATGTAACCCCCCACAATTATAAAATCCAGCCCGGAAAATTGTTTTCTTACGGGCGATGTTATGTAATTAGCTTAAACTTATAATAGTACGTCCTACTAGGATTTAGGCGAATATAATTGAGGAGGCCCTGGCCGGAGAGATTGATCAATCAAGGGGGGGGGGGTTTATTAATGCGAAGTCAACATTAGTAAATTTAGGGTACTTCGCCGGGCTCGGCGCGACTCTCTGCAGAGATTTTTGGGGGTAAGGAGTCTCGCATGGAAACACTGCAGGATTCTCTAGAAGGATGGGAGACAAAGGCTGGGAGACCATGCTGGGAGTATGGGCGACGTGACTGGCTGACTTGAAGTCTACACCGAGGGTGGGGAATAAGCGTAGCTCCTGCTCAGCAATCACCACCGGCCACAAGCTACAACTTCGAAGCAAAATCGTATGATGAATCTTGCCAGGGATCAAGTTTTCGCTTCTTTCGTTTGGTTACAGTCCGATCTGCATCTGCACGAAGCCATTTCGGGTGCAGCACCAGCAGTACCCGGCTACCAGTTTCGCGCAGCTTTTGAATAACTGCGTCGATTTGGCTGTACTGAAACCTTGGGCGAAAAAAGGCTGTGACAAAAATGTTTTCTTCAAGGGAAGCTTAACTGCCCACCCAAAGGAAGCTGGGTGCAGCATCAAGTAAAGCCTCGTGGCAAACCTCCTTCTCGATTCTGGTTGTTGAAGCCAACCTTGGACCCAGGATGTCTGGAGCTGCTACAACTGTGACTGCTGAGCATACCCGCGGCCCCATGTTATGCCGCCTAACACCAGCGTTCTTCTGCAATGGCACATTGGCCCCATCAATGACGATGTCGAAGGGTGGCTGCTCTTCCAGCCACTTCTTGAAGCGTTTGAAGCGTTTGCCTCGGCTGGTAGGCACCAAATGGCGCGCATCAAACCACAAGCAAATGGAACACAGTCCCGGAAGTGCGCGACACGAGCAAGAGGGGCAGATATCCGGCCAAAGTCACCCGAATTCTTTACCCCATCGACGGCAAGCTTGATCACCATTTTCTCCAATAAGGCCTCCTCCTGGCACTCAGTGATGGTCAAGCTGAGCGATGAACAGCAAAGCTAAGATGCGCAATACCAAACTCAATGCCGTCGCCAAGCAAAACTCGCCTCGTTTGAGATGTCGAGAGCCTGTAGACGATGACCGCTCAAGGCACATCGCCCATCTTCGCTGAGGGAAGTCCAACCGACATGCCAACCTGAAATATCAGCCAAATGCCAAGAGTTCTGCAGCTAAAGTTGGTACGTTCAATCCAACAGCATGCCAGTCTTAAGCGTTGCGCGGTTGCCATGCTCCTCACGTCCAACTGCTTCGGGTGGATCCAGCGACCGTAAAGCCTGCACGCCTCACGAGCAGCTGATCTTCTGCAATGCATCTAGCATCCAGCAGTTGCACACCATGAAGGCTGCTGTAGCAGCTTACAGGCAGCATGGCCGCAGCACCACGCTTTGAAACCAGTGTTAGCACACGCTGCTGCCTCTTGAGGGCACATGTCTTCTACGTGCCTTCGACGCCAAAGACTCGGCCAATCTCGTCGATCAGCGGTGGATCTGAAGGCAGTGGCAGCTCGTCAATGAGCTGGCGCAACAGCTCATACTGACCTTAACGCTGTACAAAGAGCACACTTTGAAAGTGAAAAGGGAATTCTCGTGTGGGGGGGAGGGTACTGAGAGTGAAGCGAAGTGGTTCTCCACGGAAGGTTCGCAGCATAATCGCAAACCTCAAAATCACACGAAGTGAGAGCCTGGTGCATAGAGCCTGTGACTAGCCTGCGCAGCCAAAACTTCACGAAAACTTGCCATAGCCCGCCAAGCAGCTCCGAGTCTTGAGGTTCAAGGCCCAGGCTTGGCAGCCGTGCCCAAAGCGACTCACAAGTCGAGCGGTCGCCCGCCTCAGATGCCTGGCATGGGGAACCTATGGGACCCATGGGCTCCAACCGATGATTCAACCTATTTTGAGCCGAGCCAAGATGAGCCAAGTCTGGAAAGGCTCCTGCAGAAGAACAGCGGAGAGCGTCCGAAGTCGTGGCTTGACGCCCTTCGCCTTGCAACCAAGTCGTGAAGCGAGGAAAACCCCGCCGACCCTGAAACCAGCAGAAGACTATCGGGTCTCGAAGAAGGATGCGGGAAATGGGGCCAGCCTGTGCTTCTGCCACAAGGTTCAAGGCCTTCTCTTGAGCCCCGCAGGCGCAGCAGACGCGAACCATGGAGGTGACAGCGCTCTCCTTTGCCGCAATACATAAACTCAGACACACGTGCAGACATGCTCTGCGAAACCCTTTTACCCATCTTTAACCTGCCTGGGGCTTGCCACCATCCAGCTTTGAACTGGACCTGGCCATGCCACACGATGCCACTCTACCCAATCATGAAGTTCAACGACGCCACTGTTGTTGGAGTTTGTGTCCCGGGCTCGAGGAGCCACTCTCCTTGTCGGACAGCTTCGACTCTGCACTCCGCACTCGCTGCAGGCTCTGCTGCTGCCTGCAACGTGCACCGTGTGAACCCCACGCACGCACAGCTTTCAAGGGTCTTGCACAAGGCTGTTAGCCAGAATGAGGCATGGCCACCGCGTAAGCATGAGCAGACCCTGCAAGGACCGGCCTTCTGGGCCAAGACGCTTAAGGCTTGGAAAAAGAAGGTGCGAGACTGCTCACCTTGGGGAACTTTGCAAGAAGTGCACGCATTTATGCACACGGCCCTAGTCGGTAGACAGGCTGAAAACGGTCAATGCCCACAGCTTAAACAGGAGCTCAGGCATTCTACACTTCCCATGGCACGTACTTTCGACAAGCTCTCGACTCATGTCTGACTCAACGCAAAAGAACGACCCGATGAATGCGCACGAGCAAGGCCGGAGTTCTCATCTCATTGAACTGCAGTTTTGTTGAGGCCGTGGCTTTTAACTAGCTTCCTTTTCGTAATTCGTAACATGTGCTTCAATGCAAACGTGCACGTACTGGAAGTTCGATCAAATCATATCGACTCAGAGCACCATTACCTATTCATTCCATGCAGAGGCCACCTTTGCACCAACCGAGTCTCTTCCGCTAGCTTCCGCTTCCTTGAGAATGCCCAGAACCTGGGAACACCAGGCCACACATCAACCTGCCAGCACTTTTTGCGATGTCCCACCTGCGTGAGGTCCAGCGCGCTACGTAGGCGCTCCTCATAGCCTGAAGACTGAATACTCCGAAAAATCAGGGGGAAGTGCTGCGCACACACAGCAGGCGAGTGCTGGCAAGAAGCTGGGATGCGAGCTCGAGCCAGACTTATCAGTCTTCTTGGGCATCCTTACACAACGTTGCTGCTCCACGTTCTGGCCATTCTGGCCCCCAGTGCTCTTTGCGTGGATGCGCTCAATGCAACCGAGCTGCTACCGACGACGAGTTATGTGGCAGCATGCCACAGTTTCAAGCCGGCAAATGATTTAGTATATGCTTGAACGAACTCGAGCATGTCCACGCCCACTCGTCACACTAACGAACGGCCTCTTGCAAAGGCTGCGTGCTGCGTGCCTTTTCGGTACTGAGGAAGCTACGAGCTGCTGGTGTGCATGTAGTCTTGGGTTCATGTCCTTGAGCCTCCAATTATATAAAAGTCATGTGTGCCCCTGTGTGGAGGCGGTTGGTTGATGTGAACTTCTGGCCAAGAACAGCTGCAGCAAAAGCCGCTCCCTGACTAAATCGGGCCTATACAAATCCGGCCGGCGATGCTTTTGTCCGTACGCAGGCGACCGGAATAGATTTACAGTCATTTCCAAGCTTTGTGTGCCATTGTCAAATTGTTCTGAGCAGAGGTCCACCAGATACTCTCGACGGGTGTGACGCTGCCAATATCTGCGAGCCAACCACCAGCCCACACGATTCACGTGGCGCGGTCGCACTCATACATGGAGAGCAGCTGCCTTGGCTAAGGAGGCCAAGGAGCTGAACACAACCTCTCTCAAAAGCAGCCTGACCACTGATGTTTTTAAAAAGGCTTGGCTGCTGCAGATCCAAATCGCTCAGGTGCTTCCCTTGACTGCGAAGATGCAAAGCAAAGAAATAAGCAAGGATTTGACAAGTAGGTGGCAGTTAACTTCAGATCAGCAGCTGTTGCCAACCGTCATCTTTGCCGATGCTGGAATGGTGTCAAACTCATCATAGACAGGTGCATAGTGCATCAAGCTCTCAAAGTCATAGGGTGCATATCCAGTATCGTTGTCGCCCGTGTACGCCTTCCTTCAGAACAAGCATGCCAAAAGGTTCGGCCTCCGGCAACTAGTTCCCCAGTATCTTGCTTTCATCTTAATTCCCGGTATCTTGCTTTCCTGTTAGTCGGAAGCGTTTCGGTAATTCCAAAAACATGTAGTTGGAATTCTGTTGCGGCCCCTTGATGCTCGCACTTGTGCGGCAGAAGCCTCAAGTTGTTATCCCGATGGCTGTCTATGTCTGTGCGGCACAAAAGCAGGCTGGGGTCCAACACCAAGTGCAGCAACACATGAACGAGCCCTTGTACCACGAAGGGGACCCGAGCAAAGCGACAAACAGTCAGCCCCCCCCCCCCCCTGCGCTCAGTAGCGGAGCCCTTCTGCCACCAGCTCTGCATCTCTTTTGCCATCGCGTCTTGGACGTTACCCCGTCGGCGAAGTCCCACACATCTCGCAGTCCCTCTGCTCTTCAAGGCCCGCGCTTCTGCTGAAGGGGTAAGGTCCTTCTGAAAGCTAAACTCTACTTTGAACCTGGCCGTATGCTGCAAGCTTATCTTTGCAGCAAGCGTCGGATCGACTTCCCATTGGTATTCCCAGCCAGGGGCAACGTTCTCCCACTTCATGACCTCACAAACGCGACGTGGCCACATGTCCTTGCAATGTGGAACAGAACTTGCCATTCGAATGCCAGGTCACAAGGTAAGGGCCCTTGCCAAAATATCTTTTTTGCGAGTCCGGGCGCTTCTGTTCATGCTCCATACCTTGGCCAGCCCAAGCCAGCCCAAGCTCGGACATCAAAATCCCAAGATTGTCAACGCAAGCTGGGGACAACAAAGGCAACGACCCAGTAAGTGCCCCAGCTCGTGCATTACTGATCCAAGTTCGCGGATGGTGCTGCACCAACCTGGGTTCCATGGATGAAAATTCTGCATCGACGAGTACACGCAGCTTGCGAAGCTGTCTTGTGCTGTAAGTAAGAATGGGTCTGCCGACAAGTTGCCGAGGTTCAACCTAGAGTTCTCCGAGGCTCCAACAAAAGCGCTGTAACCTCAAGCCGGGGCAACAGTACGTTCGTGGAGAAGCAGGTTTGGGTTCACACACATCCACACAACAAAGCATGCACAACACGTGCCGAGCGGCATGACGTGTAGTCATCCACCCCGACAGTGGCATGTGTTTGGTTGGGCGGCTCCATGTGCTCCATGAAAACAATGCATGTCTTGGACATATACCTTCGACAAGCCTTGGTGCCCAAAACCCATCACAGGAGGTTCTGGTGTGCTGGCACATCGTCTGGTGTGAACATGGCCAGGCGACGGCACGGAACAACTCCTTCCGGGCACTATCCAACCCTTTGTCGAAGACGTATGGGATGACGACATGATGCTTCCACTCGTTGGAAATGCCCTCCTTGGAAAACAATAGATGGGGGAAGCTGCTGGCTGTCCGACTTTTGTTGAAAGTGGCGACCTTGCAGTCAGAATACTGAAAAACGAGGGGGGTGCAGTTAGAATATGTTTGGCGCGGAGGGCGCGGGCCAGACGGGTGCAGTTAGAACATATTTAAAAGCCGCCGTGCAAGTTGAATAATATTTGATTAGTGCTACATAAAAAGGATTCCCATTTGCCTATCAGTTCTCATACTTTTTCAACTAGGATTCTGGAGGAGGCCCTAGGGCCTGCTTAGGGACGCCAGCCTCCCTCGCGGGAAAATAGTCTGTCCCAAGTACTGTGACAACGCTTGCAAGCCACGAGGCCCTGCACCTGGAACCCTCTTAGGGACGCCAGCCCCCCCTTACTCCCCTGTCCTCCGCAAAATATTATGTCTGCAAATTCTGTGACCCGCAAGAGGCCCTGGAAAAGGCCCTTAGGGGCCCACCCGCCCTGGCCGGCCCTGCAGAACGTTTAGGGGCGCCAGCCCTGATTTCGGACTGTGATGAGGGCCTGGAAGGCCCTGGAACCCTCTTAGCCTCTTCTCTTAGGGACGCCAGCCGAGAAGTGTATCCTGTCTGCAAGGCCCTGGCGAAAAACATTCGTTCAGGCTTGCATCTATGCCTTGCAAACAAAGTGCAGCAGCAAAGTGCCCACTACCTTTTTCCAATGCCTCCACGAAGGCACGCCGTACGCTGCCCTGCGGACATTAGGGTTTAGCGACTTGGTTTGGAGCAGTCCCCACCCCAGTTTTAATCCAAAATCCAGTGTTTAAGGTGAGCAGCTCAACCAGTGTGCAGAGGCGGCAGTGCAGCTTCCACGTGTTTCAACGTCAGGACCATTAATTGATCCGCACATGCCCGCGCCTTGCCGTTGATCTCACGGGCCGGAATAGGCGCGGGGGGCGGGGGAGGGGGGATGGACATCAAGAGCGAGCAACTGCAACTGACTACGCGTCATAAGAACACCTTGGAGGGGCAACCTACTTAATCTGAACTTGCTCCGGCATGAACACGCCTTCGTGGGTGTCCGACGTGGCTTGCCTGACAACCCCCCCCCCCCCGCCCCCGCACTCCGATGCCCAGGATGTTCTTAAGCGGAGGTTTACAGAAGAGTTTACCTGTATACAGAACGCTGGGAAGCATTCTAACTGCAACGTCTGGAAATCACCATATTCTGACTGCAAGGTTTGGCCGAGGGAAAATTTGTGTTCAAAAAGGGGTAAACGCTAAAAAGTCCAAATCATCTCACTGCAAGGTCGCCACTATACACATTGCACTGAATGCGAGACAAAGCATCTCCAAACAGCTTGACCGTACGATTCGGCCACAAACCAGCACCACTCGCACAATTGTTTGGCCAGCCTGTCAACGTTGTAAGTCCCCATACCAGCTGATAAAGCTGATGATGGATTTTATCGGTAGTCACCCGTGCCCCTGCCAAACCAGTCCAGAAAAAACAGTTGCTGTCAAGCCGACAGGCACTTGCGCATCCATCCTGGAAAGTGTTCCAACTCTTGTTGGCCCAGCTCTGTCCGCTCTTGCGCCGACAACAGGAGAAAATGCCTTATCATCGCAAACGAAAACAGGGCCGAACGACATCGCAAAAGACATATGCAAACATGTAAGCATAAGTCCAAACACCAGGGAGCTTCAAACTTGCAGGCAAATCTTCAGCCCTTTGATCTGTAGGCTGATGCTGTGTCATGTCGGTCACGTAAGACCTTGACCACCATGAGCAGTCGCCACTCTGCTTTGTTTGCCCTCCACCGATCAAAATAAGGTCGGCACAGATCACTCTGCAAAATGTTGGTTCGGGCTACAGGTACACCACCGTCTTCAAAAAAACCTCACCAGCGCACCCATTTACAGCAAAGAAGTCTGCGACAAAGCAAAACACACCAAAGCGACCCAGACACCAACATAGCGGTAGAGCTTGACGTCACAGTTGGCAGGGTCCCGAGGTCGGAGGTCGTGAAAGTTGAACACAAACCGTCGTGCCTCCAGAAATGCGGTCATCAAGACACATGTGCAAAGCATAAAAATCATTAAACCCCATTTTGGCATCATTTTCGCTCAAGCCATTTTGGCTCAAGCTCACGGGAGCACGGCTTTTTTCCCGCAAGCGAATCGCCATGTACAAGGCCAGTCATGCCAACCATCGTAATCCATCCAAAGTACCGCGACAGCGGCGGTGCCTCGGCATGTGCGGCAGCGGGAGCCTCAAGCGCCGCAACAACACGACATGCAATCGGAAGGCATGCGGAGCTCAGGTCCGGCGGGGAGTGCTGCAAGGGCCCGCAAGCCGCCAGGGCCAGCTTGGGACAACAGAAAAGCGCGCGAGGCCGGGTCAGGGTCAGAAAGGAAGCCTTCGCACGCCGCTGTGTCCAAACGTGACGTGGCGGCTCTCTGACATCCCCGCAAAGGGTTTTTGTTGCAGGACACCTCAACAAAAGCGTCGCTGTCCAACGGTGTGCCTAAGACGACCATGCCTTATTGTTCTGCCGGCAGAGAGTGCCCAGAGGCAGCAGCCTCAGGTTCCTCACCCGCCACGTTCCCAACACACGTCTCGCCGAGGTTCAGGTCTACGTTGGCGTGCTCCACCAATGCGGTGCGGAGGGTACGGAAGGTGGGGACGGCGCGTTCAACCGGACATGTGATGTATGAGTCATCCTACAAATCATACAAGTCTTCACCCGAGCGGAGGGCGGAATGCACCGTCAGCAACCTGTCTGCGACGCTAGGTGGACAGTCCCGCTTTTTGCCGCCCTCCGCCTGGGATATGATATGAGCGTGGCCGGACTCGTCGTAGAACAGGCACTTTACTGTCCCCCCCCATAAAACATGCGGACGAGAGGGATGAGTGGCGCTAGGGCTGGGCAATCGCGGAGTACGCTTTAACCCCGTCAGCGCTGACCACGGTCGTATATGGATGGGACTCTGTAGCGAAGCGGAGTGCACGTGCCAGCGCTTCCGTACTTGCTCTGGTGGCCAAGGCGAAAATTGGAACGGGGCGCAAGCTTTGTGTGGTTGGGTTCTCAGTTGCTGGGCGAGCGTGCGCGAGACCGTCCGCCGAAATACGTCGCCCATAACTACGGCCCCAATACCCCCCCCGAACTTTTGGAGGGCCACCACGGCCAAGGCGAAGCCCGGCTGCATTTGCTCAGGCACCTCAGCACGAGCCGGACACTGCGCCGCGCTGTGCAAAAAATCGCAACAATTCTCGTCACCGAGCTGCGCGCGCGTGTGCTCACACGTGGCACCTGACGGGCCCGCCGCGGCACGCCGGCGTGCCCGGAGCAGGTTTAGCGGCATCGACCGCCAGCGAGGCAAGGGCGTCGAACTCCGCCAAGGAGGCCACGGCACTTGACGACTTTGTCCCTGGCGGCGCAGCGGCGCATGCAGCCACTCTGCTGGAGTTGCCGGCATGCCCTGTCGACCCCAGTGACGGCGCCGAGGTGCCCATCGGTGACCTGCTGGTGGAGCCGCTGTAGCTGCCGACCCGGACCCCAGTCGAGCAGATGTAAAACAGCTTCGCTTTCGCTTTCGCTTTCGCTTTCGCTTTCGCCCGTTCGGGTCCACGTGAAACATTACAAGCGTCAGGTAAAACAGGTGCGCTACTTAAAAAAAAATTGATGTTTTGTCTCGCGCCTTGCATGCTCCTATTTCCGATCGTGGGGCGAGGTGCATGTCCCGCCCGCGGGGCTGACCCACCGCGTTATAACCTCGCATGCCGACGGCGAACCGCGGGCACTGGCACAGACTCGCATTTCCAAACACGGGCCGGGAGGGCAGTGGCGTTGGCGCACCTAGGCAAAGTGTCAGCGGCCAGCGCGGCGTTGGAAGCTGCCCCCCTGGCGGCCCTGGCGCCGGCTTCTGCTCCGAACCCACTTCGAGGCCGAACACGAGGCGACACGTGCCACGCCGGTCGGAGCGGAGCTCAGGGTAGGTGCGGCGCTTGCGCGCTGCTGCCTGCTGGAGAGCGAGTCCAAGGCAGAGCGTCGCACCCGGCGCGAGCTTGCCCGCTGCGCTGGACTGGGCAGACGAGCGTGGTGTCGACCGTCACCTGCACCCCCTGCCAGATGGGCAATCCGTTGGCGACGACCTCTTTGCGCCGCGCATCACTGGCGGGCAGGTCAAGGTTCACGTCGCGTAGCGCAGTGCTGGCGGCCACGTGGGCGGCATGCGGAGGCGGCGTAGGAGCATGATCCGGAATTCGTCGCTGGGGACGGCGAATTCCGGTCCTGTGGGCAGAACAGCCATTGCACAGCTCGCGCCGGGACCGCTTTGGAACAGCAGCTGCGCTCGAGATGCTGGGGCAAGTTTGAAAAAAACAACTCGAGCGCGCGCTTCTCCACTTCAGCCCCGGCAACGCAGCCAGCCTTTGCGCGTGGTTTGCGGGCCCACACTGTCAGCCTCCGCAGCACGCAAAGGCGCGACACCATCGAGCAAGGACGTCCACGTGGGCGCCTCGAAGCCCTGCAGGCGCAGCCATGCAGCCGCGCGCACTCTGCCTCCCTGGTGCTGGGCTCAGCAGGTCCGCCAGCGCCTCCGGGTAGCATTCCTTGAACTTCCCCATGCGCGGTAGCCGACGGCAACCCCAAACCCCCCAAGCACAGTGGCAGGTGCGCTCACTGATGCTCACTGCGCGCTGGCTGGTATCGCAAGCGCGGTATCCGTCCCCGAGAGCAGTCTGCCCAGGCACTCCAACACCGCCTCATTCTGCGCAGCTGCGAGGGAGGCCGTATCCGCGGGACTGAGTTTTCGCTTTCGCTTTCGCCCGTTGAAACATTACAAGTCCTGCTGCTAGTGGACCACGGTCCAAGAAGGACATGTGGAATGGGGATGAATGGGGGCGTGCTTGAGTGCTGGCACGATTCGGTCTAGACATTCGCAAAGCTTTGTACGTACTGGCTTGCAGCGGGCGGCCAATTTGCTGTTTCAGCCATACCGCGGGACTGAATGCAGGAGATAAGTCCAACGAGGGGCTGCACAGAAGAGCAACAGCAGCCACGCGCACTGCGGGTCTATTGTTTCCAACCCATGACGACGGCGTGTGCTTCGCACCCGTCGCGAATGAGCTCCAAACCCTGCCGCGGGGATCTTCCGCGCAGACACGCGCTAGCATGGAGATTGGGGTCACGTTGTGGGATATGCCAGTACCGGTCAATATAGACCGCTAGAGCCGCCGCTCCTTGAGGCTGCGCTACGTGAGGCAGCCGCATGCAGCCGGCTCCACGTGACGGGGTTTTTTGTGGGTGTTGATGCCGACGATGGTGATGCTTGTCTCACCCGTGCGGCGCTCAGTGCGCGATGGGGAGGTGGGCGCGGGCGGTGAGGTCGCGGCCAGGGAGGTTGCGGTTCTTCGTGCGAGCCCCGGCCAGATGCTGAGAACCAACTCCAGGGCCACCCACCTACCGCTGCTCCCGCCCCTGCGTAGTTGCATTCAATAAAACCGCGCACACGGACACCACAGCGATGCGGCACACGGCATGTCGTGCTTGCACTGCGCATGCTCGATCGCCTGGCGAGTCCAGCGTTCCCGCTGCCGAGCGCTCGACCGCCGCTGCGAGCTCTTCAGGCCCGCGAGTGTAGCACCTGGTCAGCAGCAGCGACGCAACGAGTGCTCAGCATGCCATCGGTGAGCTCTCCGCAACGTCGCGCGCCCGCACCGCTCCTGTTAGGCAAGAAGCCATCCGGGCACGTCGCGAACGCAGTCGATGAGATGCACCCTTTCACACACTTCGGTGGCATTGCGCGAGTTGGTCCAAAACCTTTTATTCAACCGAGGCGGTGATCCAAACCCGCTCTGTCCTGCAAAGTTACGGGCCAAAGAACAACTGTCCTGACCTGACCATCAATCAAGACAGTCAAGTCAGTCAGCTCGAAACCACTCCGGACGCACAGTGGAGCTCGAAGCCAGTCATCTCGTTTTTAGATTGCGTAGGCACATCGGTGTGCGCATGTGTGCGCTCATCCTTGTCAAGCTTGGGCCAGAGCCTGCGACCATCCTACGTCGAAGGGTGGGAGAAGCAGGTTCGAGCAAAGCAGTATCACTTGGAGCAGTTGAAAATGTTTGGGCTGGCACATTGCGATGGCCTCGCGCAGCAAGACTGACTTTGCCGCCGTGACGATGCAGATCATCAACGACAATCAGGCGCTCGTTTCCCTAGCTGCCCTAGCATGATGCCCCTCGTGTTGATCATGCGCGGGGGGGCAAAAGGAATGGCGGGCATGGGAAGGACCGGGAGCGAGACCGACAACGGTGAAGGTAATTATCCGCCTCATCCCAGCAGATCATCTGCCGAACTCTGGTCGAGGCCTCTGCTGCGGACAGCTGCCCTTATTGGCTTCGGGGCATCTCGGAGCACCGACGACTCGGCCTGTCAGACCCTGTCAGCATCAGCGAGGTCGAGTACTCGATCGAACTCCGGGTCCTGTTGCTGGCTGGCATGTGGTGGTGCTGGCGGCAGGGCGGTGCTCGCCACGGCCTGTTGCACGGCTGGAGGGGCTCGCTTGGCTCGAAATCGCACGAGGTCGTGGAGCAACTGTCTCGCGCCAGCATTCCACCGTCCCCCAACCTGTGTCCCTAGCACGATGAGCTGCTGCGGGCCGCCCGCAAGGCTGGGGCAAACCCGCGCGCGAGAGCGGCGAGACCAATGTCGCGTCGCAGCTGAGGGCCCCCCAAACGGCGTCGCTCCGTAGATGGCGAGGTCCAGGCGGTGGCGGTCGTCGGCGCGGACATTCGGCGACGTGGTGTGCGCTAGCCATTGTTGGGGACTGCTTCCCCACGCCCGTTCCAGAATCGTCGCCACATGCCAGCCAGCAACCCTATGCGCGTATGCCAGAGCGTGGTCGCCCAGCGCATCTACCTTTCCCCCGCACGCGGGCGGCTGCAGCAGAGCGGCAGGGGGAGGCGCAACTGCTGGCATCGCTTGGGGTGGAAGGGCGCATGCTGGTTCCCAAGCTTGTGCCAGCAGATTTGCAGCGAAAGGAGTTGGAAGTGGCAAGCAATTCTGTGGGAATCCAACCCTGAATTGCGTCAACTTGCATCAGCGAAGTTCCCCAGCGCAATCCTTAAGGAAGATGTCGACGAGGACACGCCCGAGAAGATTGTGGACTTCTTGGAGCAAAGCATAGCAAAGCGACCCGGGCTCGAAAGCGCTTGTGATCATTGCAGCTCGTCCTCCCTGTCCTGATTACAGCAGAGTGCGTGAGAATGCCCCTGGGACAGCTGGCCCAGAGGGGTCCAAGTTTGTGCGATTTTTTACAATTCCTTGCTCATTCTGGCTAGATGGGTTTGCGAGATGTTGAGAACATTAAGAAAAGCTGCCCGAACGTGGTTCCCAAAAACAAAGAAGACGTGCGAACATTGGAGCCTGTCCTGTCAGTGGGAGCCATGATCCGTGATGCAAGAGATTTGGCTTGATCGCTCGCCCGCGACCGTGGCGGACGCGGATCGTCTCATCGAAATGAGTGCCCTTTCGCGGTGAGGCCCCGGCGCGACCGCGGCGACCGGAACCTGAAGGCAAAGTGATGCTCAAAGCGACGTACGAGACTGAATGGTGACATCATCGAGGTAAGCCGGCGCGCGCTTCACCCAACTCATCGCAGAGCTACTGCGACAGGTCAGCGACCGAAATCCCAGGCTCAACAAAGCGGGCTTATTGTTTCTCCGTGCGCTACGCCCTCGGTTTGGTGCAGCTGTCGAACAGCAGCCTCGGACGTCGGTACCGGCGTGTGCCTGCAAGGCGAATTCGTACGGACACATGGCTTGATGGAAACGGACGCGACACCAGCCGTCGGAAACACGTCGCTTGTTGTGATGCCTCGCAAACCGTGGTCTGGCTTTTGCGGAGCACGGCCAAATGGGCCAGAACCAGGACCTGCGTGATGGTACTCGGGATTACGCGGGCGTTCGTCTGCAGCGTCGACGCAAAAGAAGCGGCGGCCAGCCCAAAACTGGATGGGCCGTGATGGGCCATGCCCTTTAGGGTCGGATTTGGCCCTGTTGCCCTGGGAGTGATGACCACACTGAGCTGGCGAGCCTGGCATAGCGTCCCCGTTTCGCAAAAGTGATCCTCGTGCAGCGAAGAACGCTCCTCGAACGTACCGTTTACCGAGGAGCCCGAGACAAGCTCCTGTCGCGCGCAGCCGCATTCCAGCGCGAACTGAACAACATTTTTTGGGGCAGCTCGGTGCGAAACCTCGCAGCGGCGTAAAATTGGTTTGGGCCCTTTTTGCCACCCATGATTTCACTGCGCTGTGGCGTCTCCCCAGTGTAATGTGTGCATTGAATGAGGTTACTTCACACCGCATTTTTTGGGGCTGAGTAATTCGGATCCAACGGCCGCTGGCCGCTCGGTGGTGTTTGACATTGCTGCCTATATAAGACAATATCGGCGAATGTATATAGGGGAGAGTTCTAACAATCAGTCTGTTCATCATGAAGGTTGGTAAAGGCTCAACGCTGTCTGCACGCTGCTTCCGAAATGGCTAACATGTCAATCAACTACAGATCCCATGTCAAACGTGTACCTGACGAAATCCCAACACCCTGCAAACTTGCCTCTGTGCCAAGACGAAGAACTGCCACATTCAGAGTGCTGACACCACAGCGACATTCATCAGCACCAACAATGCCAAAAATGTCCATTCCTGCACAGAAGATTCACCACATGCGCAATGGCACAACGAACCAGAAACTGAACAAAAAACTAGGCCGTTTCGCAATGCGACGTATACAGGTCGAATTTGTGCAATGTAGCACAATTCGGTGGACACTGTGGTCGGCAACTGAAGGTGAGTGGCTGCTAGTGGTGTCTCTTTCGACGTCTGGACATGTAAATTCGAACCATGTTGCCATGACGCACGCTGATCATTCAATTTGAGAGACGCTGAGAGGGCCAGCAAAAGCACGTTAAAGAGCCTCAAGGGGAATGGGGCCCAGATGATTCCGATGATCGGCAATGACCAAAACTTCAATACACTTCGCTACATGATCCAGACTCTTTCATGACGTCATGCTGGACCGTTTGAACGTTTATGGACGCGGACGTGACGGGACTGACTGACCTACTTCGTCATTTTCAACACGCAATGTAAAAGCCTCGGCTCGCAACTTTCCGTCAATCACACATATGCCCTTGCCTTTCTCGATGCAGAATGCGAAGCATAAGGAAGGTGACATCGCATTGGACGTTAGGGAGTAGAAAGGAAGACCATACCTGCACGTTTCCACAACTTTGGCACTCCCTTGACGCCGCAACCTTAACAGCAATAAAACTGTTGGCACACTCCTGCCTGCAAGACGAAGAAGCAAAACGACAACTCCAATCCAAAGGAGGGTTGCCACGGGAAGGCAAGTTGACAGCCTGCAGGCAGAATGGAGTCTTTTTTTCAAATTTTGTATTGACTCGGCAGACCGCCTGCTTCACCCCACAACCCAATTGCTCAAAGTCATCATCGTCAAGATCGCCAGCATATCGCATCAAGGACGTGCGGCGCTCAGGACAATCCAGGGTGGAAGCTGAACAAACCTGATGTTGCTCACCGAACGGTTCTCCGCTCATCGAACTGTTCTCTGCATGCGCCCGTACTAAATCTTAAGGCACCCACCAAGAGTTCGCAGCTGCACGATCGCACCAATTCCTCACTGTTTACCCATCCCAAGAGGGCGCAACATGCCGCGGCGAAAACCCATCAAGATCCATCAAGCGTCCGGAGCTGCATAAGAGCAGTTGTTCGAGTCCAGCCTTTGCCCAAACCGTTTGCAGAACACAGCGCCCTTGTGCAAGCAATCTATGCTACTATTGCCAGTGCTACCCGGCCACAACTCCCCTGTCGCCAAGTGGTGGCACGTTGCTGATCGGACCTTCTTTGTGTTGGTCCGAAACAAAAGCACTTGAGTGGCAGAACCAGTTGCAATTTCCGGTCCTGCACAGGACCACTGCCACAACCTGCAAGGCAATCACCCCAAGGTCCAGCCACCCAGGATGCGAGGTGCAACGTTTTGGACCTTAATAAGCTTGGGCGACCGACGGCTCGTGATGGGTGGCAACCAAACAGTAAGCAGCAAACCAACTGCGCCCGCGAATCTGCAGCAGTGCGTTGTCATCGTTGGCTGTGACACCGCTTAAACCAAGTACCTCTGGTATTTGATTATGAGAAGATAGAATTTCCCTAGGAGCTCCTCGCACATGCATCTGTAATCCGCATTCTGCGCTTGCCATCAAGGCACCAGCCCCCAGCAAAATCGCAGCATAGCAAGTTGTCAAATTACCATCTTGGTCCTGATTGCGCACGCACGCACTCAATCCTGCTAGCAAGTTGACCGTGCATGCAGAATTTGAACAACCCGCCTGCTCAACGGCTGCCAGATAGGCCGAATGACTTTTCACATGCGCATAGTAATGAACTTGATCGTGTAAACTCACAAGCAGCACACAAACTCAAATGCCGCAGCATCGCGCATTTCTTCCAAGCTTCCCCAAGAGGCACTACATCATGTTGAAACATGCTGAATAACCGAGTTGGGAAACAAGAATCAAAAATTGCGCGTCGGGGTTAAAGGTTTGGGGTTTAGGGTTTAAGGCCTGAGGAGTTTCTGGTTTAGGGCCGTTTAGGGTCTTGGGGGTTTGGGGTTTGGGGTATAGGTTGGGATGCTTCCCCTTATACTAGCAGTCCTTCATAACGATTATACTGCGGGGTACTATGATCCCGATTAAGGACTGGCAGCACAAGGGGAACATCCTAAGGTTTAGAGTATACCATGTATAATACATATATATATATATATACATATACATATACATATACATATACATATACATATACATATGCATATGCATATACATATACAGAAACATATACAGACATGTACATGAACATGTACATGAACATGTACATGTACATATACATACACATATACATATACAAAAACATAAAATACAAAAACATATACATCTACATAATATACATATACATACACACAAACATTTACGTATACATATACATATGCATATGCATATACATATGCATATACATCTACATCTACATCAAACATATACATCTACATGTACATATACATTTACATTTGCATATACATATGCATATGCATCTGCATCTACATATACATATACCTAGACCTCTACGTGCACATAGGCCTATACATATACAAAAACAAAAACAAAAGCATATACATATACATATACATATACATATACATATACATATACTTATACATAGACATATACAGATACATATACATATACATATACAAAAACATATACATACACATATACATATACATATTCATACACACACACATCCACATATACATACACATAAACTTTTACATAGACATATACACATATACATAGACATAGACATAGATAGACATAGACATAGACATAAACATAGACATAAACATAAACATATACATACACACATCTACATACACATATATATATATATATGTATATATATATATATCGATTGCAAGTAAGACTAACCTAAAATATAAATGTCACAGTGCGGTCTGCAGCTAAATCACTCTTTAGCGGCAATCCAAGTCCGCGAAACTCGTGTTGCTTCTTGTCGTCCTAGACCTGAAGGAACAAAGACTTTCAAGGATCCCAAAAAGCATGATGCATTGACAGTGTTGGTGTGCTGGCAGAAAATTGAAACAGCAACGCAAAACGGGTTTTTGACAGTCTTGTGGAATGCTGGCTGAATTTTGAAATACTTGCTGGAACAGCTCTAGCAATGGTTGCTTTTTGTCATCCAAAAAACTTGAAAGAAACAAACCTCAAAATCAAAAAAACGTGCTTTAATCAATTAAATCAAAAATATCAATTTTAGTTCGGGCAGAGAGGTTTAACAGCAGTGGTTCAATTTTCTTCAAAACCTGAAGAGCGAAACCCTCAGATCAAAAGAACGTGTTTTGTATCGACAGCCAAGATAACACGTCCATTTGCAGCTAGAAGCAGTTTTGACAGTTTGTGGTGTCCAGCTAATTTTGAAAGGGTAAACTGCTGTCATGTTGCGAAAGCATGTTTTGAAAACAGCAACGTCTGGTGGTGTTGCTTAGCAAAAGCCCTCAAAAAACAAAAAAGCGTGCTTGATCAATTTTTGCAATTGGGGCAGAGCGCTTTTCTGCTCAAACACTGATCCTTCAAAATTACCAGCACACCACCAATACTGTCAAAACCCTCTGCCCCAACTGCAAAAATTGATCAATCACGCTTTTGTTGATTTTTGAAGGATTTGTTGCAACTTTTTGCGGTTGGGGCACAGCAGTTTTGACAGTGTTTGCTTCTTGTCGTTGAGACCGAGGGACAAAGCCTGTAAGAATTCCAAAATAACAGTTTCGTGGTTTGCTGGCAGAATTTGAAACAGCAACGTCTGGTAGTGCTCTTGTATCCAAAATTTGAAAGAACTTGCTTTTTCAAGAGAGTTTTGCTTTTTCAGGTGAAGGAGACAAGAAAACCAGCAAACACTGCTTGTCAAATTGACGATACTGTCAAAAAAAAAACACTTTGCTCCAACTGCAAAATTTGATTTTTGAGTTTTCAAATTTTGGATGACAAGGAGCAACACCACCAGACATTTGTTTCAAAACTGCCACCATAAAACTGTTTTAGTGCACCACTTTTTTTGAATTTTTAAAAGGTTTCTTCAGGTTTAAAACAACAAGAATATGAGCAGAAGCAAAATTTAGCCAGCACACCACAACACCTAAAACCACTAGCAGGTGGCTTCGGGCTGTAAATCCCACAATTTAACTTACCTGCATTTCAGGCGTTTATCCCTCTACCTTGAAGCTAGCCATTTATTTTATGACTTTTTGCAAGTCCGACATTAGTAGTGCGTAATGAGCACCAAAGACTCTTGGCAAATTCCCTAAACCCAAATCAAAAATTCCAAAACCATCAACTCTTGACTTTTTTGGTTTTGGTGGAACCTGAAACAGAGAAGCTAAAGCAAAGCCACAAAAAAGTTTTCAACGAAAAAAAAAAAAAAAAAAACACACATTTTTCATGGTTTTCAAAAACAAAAAGTCTAAAAACATGCAGCTTTTATTCTGTGGGTAAATTCCTGCTAAAACCACTGCAGAGAGCTGAACAACAACCCAGCGACGTCTGCAAACAATGAAAATTAACTCCAAAAACCTTGAAAAGTGCTGAAACTTGCATTTTGGAAAATTTCAAAAAATTGCCACGGAGAGTGCTTCGCACCATGCTTTGCACCAAGAAACGCAACGCCCACAAGAAGAATTTTAAGTTTGGAGAAAATGCAAGATGACCTGGACTCGTATTCAAAGCACAAAATGCAGAAAGTGCCCTAAGCAAGCCGTACCAGTTTGCAACGGTGTGCTCTTTTCTTTATTGGTCTTCGCTTGTGCAGTCCCTTCAGTCCATTGCAACGGCACTAACTTTCTGGCCACCATTTGTCCAGCTTCTTTTCTTCAATTGTTAACTTCCAACCATTCCACAGAATGCACCAGATTTTTTGGACGCCGCGTTTTCTTACAATGTTTTTTTGAAGCCGGTTGGCTTGGTTGCAGGCTTTATTTTGTTTTTAGATCATTTTGTTAACAAATACCAGTGTTTCTGTTTTAAAAGTTTTTTTTTTTCATTTTTGGAAATTTTGAAAACAATCTGCTTTGACCCAAGGCAACTTTGAAACCAGTGTTTTTCTGGTTTTAAATGTTTTTCATGTTGGAAATTACATAAATTTGTTTAAACAGGGCATCTTCAATTTGCTCAAGTTTGGTCTTGCCTTGCATGTGTCAAGCCAAACAGCTGAAAAACACAGCTAAAGTTTTTTTGAGGTCATCTTTGCTGGAGGTGCAAACAGGAAAATGTGCGTCAAGTCAAGCAGCAGAAAAAAATGGGCTAAGTTTGGAGTCTTAGCTTTGACAAGATGGGCTGCAACGACCCAATTGCAGACCGCGACGGCTACGCGTGGGTGGTAGTGGCCGTGGACATGAGTTACTTGTGACGATGAACATGACTTGTGACTCACAACTTATGACTCCCATGTCTTTACACTTTCGTTTGATGTTGGTTTGATGGAGGTGCGCCGTCTCTCCCTCTTTGAATCTCATTGCTCTGGCTTACTGGGGCGCTGTTGCGTCGAAGAAGCAGTGGTTGAACGCCGCGTTTTTTCTAATGTTTTTTAAGATTTTCAATGTGTTAAATTTTGATCCAAAGCAAGCCGGTTGGCTCAGTTTCAAAAAGTTAGTATGGATCATCTTGTTCATTTCGTTGACAATGTTTCTCAAACAAGGAAAAATTGAACAAAAATTAATTAACGTTTTTTTTTGATTTTGTTTTTCAGGCAAGTTTGTTCAGAGCGATTTTGTTTCTAAACAAGGCATTCCAAAATTATTATTCATATTGCAGACTTTGAAATGCTTCGAAACCAGTTTTTTTCTGTGTTTTAAACGTTTTTTCATGTTTGAAATTTTAAAAACAATTTGCTTTAA